CAGTGCTGCTAGCTGATGAGACAAGGAATGAGGTGGAGGACTGGGCCAGGGGTATGGAGGTGGAAGTGAACATTGACAGATTTCACAAGTACCAAATGCGTGGTGCCATTCTGTTTCGATTTGATGTGGAAGTGCTATGAAATTGTTTCAGGAACGTGAGTGTGGGGATGATGTTTTCCTTGAGTTCTGATGGGACAGAGGTCCTAAGTGTACTGTTTTTACATAAAATTGACAGTTTTTGTTAGTCAAAGAAGTGCATAAAGTGCAAGTAGGTCTTGTGTGCATAAAATATGATGCTATGTGATACATGTTTATTAACAGTAATTAACATTGTTTTGTACCTTCTCCACCTTTGATTCTTTGTGTGTGAGTTTTTTTATTCCTGCTTACTCACACACCCCGAAATCCTCCAACTTTGTAGAAAAATAGGGCAAGTATTTACTCTTTTGGCCTTGAAAGCCTTAGGGCCTGTGTCTTCTTCTTCTTCTATCCCGTGGTTGGGGCAACCGTGGGGGCACCACTGCATTTGAAAACCAGCTCTCGCCATCTATTTTTGTCCTCTGCTTTCCTCAGATTGTCACCCACCGTCTTTCCTGTCCACTCTGTAATGTTGTCCTCCCATCTCCTTCTCTGCCTTCCTCTCTTTCTCTTTCCTTGTACGGTTCCTTGCAGGATTGTTTTGGCAAGTTCTGTGGATCTTGTGACCTGCCCATACCATTTTAATTTTCGTTTCTTCACTGTGGTTAGTAGATCTTCATATTGCCCCACTGCGTTGGTGATTCTCTTTCATACCGCAGCATGTGAAACCTTGTTTTTTGTACGAGATGTCAAGGAGTCTGCGGTAACATCTCATCTCTGTGGTCTGAATCTTTTCTCTAATTCTGCTGTTAGTGTCCACGACTCGCAGGCATATAAAAATATTGAGATGACCAGTGAGCGCATTAGTCTAATTTTTGAGTTGTGCGTGATGTTTTTGTCCCTCCAAATAGGCTTCAGTTTTGACAGCGCAGCTGTTGTTTGCGCGATTCTGGAGAGAATTTCTGGTCTTGGGCCTTCATCTGAGACGATTGATCCAAGGTATTTGAAGCTGTTGACTGTCTCAAGTTTCTCGCCCCTGACTTTGATGTCCGCGTTGATGCCATTGGTGTTATTGGTCATTAGCTTGGTTTTCTCGGCACTGATCTCCATGCCGTAGGCTGCTGAGGTTGTGTCCAGCAGCTCCACTGGTGTGGCGAGTTCCTGTTCTTCTCCTGCTAATCCATCGATGTCATCGGCAAAACGCAAGTTAGTGATTGTCCTGCCTCCAATACTGATTGTTCCATTGTGGTCTTCCAGAGTGTCAGTCATGATTCGTTCTAGGAAGATGTTGAAGAGAGTGGGAGAGAGCAAACAGCCTTGTCTCACCCCGACCGTTGTCCTGAACCAATCCCCCATGCTGCCGTTAAGGTAGACTGCGCTGGAGGCCTTGTCATATAGTTGTATGACGTTGATCAGGTTGGCGTTGATGTTATATTTCCTCATGGTTGCCCATAAGGCTGCATGCCAGACCCTGAGCTTTTATGCATTAACTGCTAAATATGCACCACTGTACCCTGAAGTATGTTTTCACTGCGTAGAAAGGTAGAGATTGTCACGCTCAGGTGTGCACAAAGATCCATTGGGTTAAACCTCTTTGTCTTAAAATTCTGTTTGGTTTCCATCACTTCATTTTTGAGGACTTTGATTCCTGCTTGTTCACCCACCTTTTGGGCTCCTCAGCTTTGTATAAAAGACATCAACTTCTAAATGTTTCCAAATTCATCAGCCTTCTAAGCGTTAACAAGTTCAGCAGCTAAGTAAGTGTGAAGTATTAACAAGTTCATCAACCTTCGTTGTGTTTAGAAATTCATCAGCTATTGTAGTGCACCTGCTACTCTCTTAACGTCTGGTTCCTGGGAACTCTAGTGTGAGCGTACTACATCATTGAGAAGAAGACCTCGTCCAGCACCATTTGCACAAAGATGTACCTCAGTCACTACCAGACCCCCATACCGAGGTGCATTAGGGGGAACCTTAGTTTGTTGGAATTGTCGCTAAAGAAACAGCAAGTAAAGAAGAAACATCAATGCAACGTTTGCTGTTTCTTTGTCTACAAATCCGACAAACTGATGCTCCAATGAATGTTTAGGATCTGAATTTGTATTATGTGTTAGTGGTATTTGATGAGAGTGAATGTGGGTTGTACAAATGAATTATGGTTTATGGTGTATTTTATGTGTTAAGTAAATTGATGATGTCAGAAGGAATTGTACAGTTTTGTCTCTCACGTTTTACTGATAGGTATAAAAATAATAAAACGAGGCAGTACCACAGTATGGGATAGTAACTAGTAAGCACAATTTGAAAGAGAACACTAGAACCCAACTCTTGTTGTGTGAAAACACTAGAACTAACTGTTATTTCTCCTCTTTCTACTGGCTTCTCTTGTGTAGCAGTTAAGTGCTTTGTCATCGCATGTAGCAGACCCTGAGTTCAATCCCTGAGTTGGGAGATATTTTGTGGAGTATCCCAGTCTTTCTGTTGTATCCCTTTCAGCCTGGGTTGGCCCTGACAGGCATGGTCGAAATCCTCCTTCCAGATAATCTAAATTGTGTCGATGGGGGTGTAAAAATATGTACATTTATTGCCTCTTGAGATGTTATTTTTCTTGACATGATTTTGAGCTACCCTTTAAAAAAAAACTTTTTTGGCCAATTATACCATTCTGATTTTACGTGCCACTGGTAGGTCCCACCTTTCTTTCCCTCTTTTTTTTTTGCCTGTGTGTCTTACTCTTTTCCTACCCTTTGCCATTCCTTTTTACAGTAAAGCCCATTTGTAAGCAACTTCAGAAGAAGCTCTGGTGTGGTCTGCTTCTTCTTTCCTTTCAAACTTCTATCGTCCTTATATCCCCTTCTTCTTTTTTATGTTTGTTACTCTCTAATCTTCTGGCGCTCATATGACCTTATGCAGTTGCGAGCGCCGTAAAACCTCTACTACAACAAAACAACCTCATAAATGCTTATTTCACCAAAGGTGTCTAAGGTCAGGAGATCGGTCTGTTATGTGAGCTCATAGGAAAGAGGATAAAAACCTTACTGGGATGTCCATTTCTCATCAAGCTCCACCTATCTGAAACTCTCTCCCACAACATTTGAGGGATACAAAAACAGAGGCAAAATTTAAATATCATATAACGACATACTTCATGAAATGCTGTCTAGATAGTCAGTCCTTATTCATAGTATTCTTCATTTGTTCATAATGCATTATGCATATATTATATTTGTCATTATGTTGTGATAGCATAAATGTCCTTGTGCGCTAGGGTTAACCTAAAGAGTGTATGCATGCATGCTCGTGCATACGCATGTGTTAAGATAAAGGTACATTGTTGTAAACTGCATAGAGCTGTATTGTACAGATAGGAGTGGGCATGATAAAAAGTATCAGGATTATTATCTTCATGGGGTATAAACTTTCAAAATCTGTAGAAACCCCTCTGGGATTTTTAAATAAGTATTTGTCAAGGAATTTTCAAGAATAGAGTGAACAGATGTTTGCAAAAATGTTGGTGTGTTGAGACAAATTGAAACAAGTCATTGTGCAAATGTTGGAGAGTCTATGTTCAATAGCAGTTGAAGAGATATTTGACAAGATGTTGCACCTCGAATTTTCGATCACACTATAATATCAAAGCGAAACATAGATGCCCCCCCCCCCCCCCCCCCCCGAAAAAAAAAATTGAAACGAAAAGATATCAAGACACTCTGAAGATTTCTCCAAAAGATTACTCCATTGATGTAGATGAGTGGGAAACCCTTTCTTGACTGATCACAGTGGTGTAAAACCGTGACATGTTGTTGTAAGGCTTTTGACAAAGAGTTTATCAAGCAAAGGCAGATAGAAAATCAATACAGTCAAATCCTGACAATGACCCTTTTCCCAAAAAAACCCACAAGTGCCTTTGAAAAGTCAGGTTTTGGTACAGACTCCAAGCACATAAAGGAAGGATAAAGTAAAGAAGAGTTTCAGCGGGGAAACAAAAAAAACCGAGACAAATAAAAAGCACAGATTAGGGTATCTCTTCAAGCTAAAAGTGATAATCATAATGAATAATAATAATAATAATTATAATAATAATAAATGATAATCTAATAATGATAATGATAGTAATAATAATAATAATAATAATGTTAATATTAATTATAATAATAAGTATGATAATTAATGGTTCATCATTTTAAAAAAGTCAGGTTTTGATTAACTCTCAAGTCCTTCTCGCAATAAAGTGAAGCCCAATTACTAAAATTACAAAATATTGTTCTGTAGCCATGTTCTCTTGCGTTCATCTTTCCAAGGCAAGGATTATACTATTAGCCTACGGAAGATATGAACAGAGGAAATACAGTTGAATGTGAAGCTGTTTTTGTATACAGGTGGAGTGGGTTCATTATTATACATAAATATATTATATATTATTCGCATGTTAATAATCATATAGACCGTATGTTAGTGTAACTGGACCCCTGTATAGAATCATCTTAAAAGTGAAATTTCTTATCTCTGTGCTGTGAATGTGATTCCCATAGAGGGCGCGTAAAAGTGAACAAATTTGTTGTAAACCAAAAGCTCTCACAAGAGAAACTCGGTACAGGAATCTGTGGTGTTATGGTTAGACCTTTCATTGTTGCTCATAGAAGACAAGTTCATTTCTTGGCTGAGGATGTTCATTTTTTATTGAGTATCTTCACCATCTGCTGGAATGTTGTTACTGTATTTCCCTCAACCTGGGTTGGCTCCGACTGGCAAAGTCAAAGCAGTCCATAACCTAAATGGTTTAAATTGTGTTGTTTACAATATGCTTTGTTAGTTTCTAAATTGTATTGACAGAGCATACAACATTACAATTGCCGGCACAAAATGTATAATTTGCTGACAAATTTCTGATCTCTGTGTTGTACATTTGATTCTCATCACAGCGCTGCTAAGACTGGACATCGTTGTAATTTACAGACGTGCACTCATAGACGGAAAGACAAAGTCCAGCTATGTCTTCGGAAAGAGTAACCAACACCACCTACTTCTACAAGATACGTAAAGTCATGGACTTACCCCAACATGTTCGTACCAGGTACTCCCCTGACGCTTGGTTCCTGGGAAACTTGGGGTTCCGTGCATACTACATCATTTCTGTGTGGTCTTCAAGCGGCATAACGCTAGGCATGTACATGAGCCATTGTCATTCCACCATGGGCCAGCCCGTCAGAGGGCGCATTGGTCTGGTAGATCTGTCGGAGCGGAAAAATCCCTCTGTCTTACTGGCTGATGAGACAAGGGGGGATGCAGAGGACTGGGCGAGGGGTGTGGAGATCGAAGTGGATTTGGACCGTCATAAGAAATATTCTTCTCATGGAGCATATTTGTTCAGGTTTGATGTGGAGTATGCTTAGATGTAAATAAAAGTTGAAGTTATTTTGGCAGGCATTGTTTTTGGTTATTACTAGAATATCAGAATTATTGGTATACCTCTTTTCCTGAAAATAACAGGACTAACTATTCTTTTCTTTTGGTAATTGTAACATCTCTGTTGTGAAAAACCACTGATGGTGTTGTGCTTTAACTGTGTAGGTGGAAAAGATGAGTCACCTTTTTTTTTCCTAAAACAATTGCTGAGGTTTATCTGCCGGTCCTCAGAAGAAATCGAGAGTCAGCATTTGCTATAAATAGTATTATTAAGTACTGTAAGCTAAGTGTTGAGTTACTCTCACCTTTTGATTCAGAATAGTTTTTTTCTTTTTACCTCTTGAATAATTTGGAAGAAGCCAATTACATGGATAAAGCAGAACACCGTTAATGATGGTCAGCTTACGCCCATTTCCTCAGGTATCCAGTGTGTTTTTTTGTTTGTTGAACTCTTGAGATATGATAGTGACTGAGCTCCATAATTGGCCTTTGATGTAAAGATGTATGCAGCTAAGTAATTAAATAAAGACATTTTATTTTGCTGAAATTACAAATCTGCAGAATTTATATATTTTTAAACTGGATTCATAGATTAGTGAAAGAACTTCGTTTTCATCTGGATCTAGCTAGAGACCACATCTGTTTGTGCTTCTCTTCATATTGTACCAATGCACATTGTTTTTAATTCTATTTACAAATGTCTGTGTTCATTTCTCTCTCTCTCTCTCTCTCTCTCTCTCTCTCTCTCTCTCTCTCTCTCTCTCCCTCTCTCCCTCTCTCCCTCTCTCTCTCTCTCTCTCTCTCTCTCTCTTGAAAAATGCACGGCAAAAAGTGACACCAGAACAACTTACTAAGAGGAGAAACCTGAATTGATGGGTGAATTGAAAATAACAGGACCGTGTAGGTTTTTTGAAAGCATCCATGTAGAGCAGTGAATGGAGAATGATGATCCCTGATATATCTGTCTGTTTCAGATTTGTCAAATTGCACAGTCTTCAATTCAGTTCTCAGTCTTATTTTGATATTCTATCATGTGGGGTTTTTTTTTAACAGTCTGAGACTTTTTTGGGGTTTTCTTTTTAATATTATTTTGGTGCAAATTTAGACGCTATGTAATGTTTATAATGCATATTTTTATTTGCCGTTGCAAACTCATTTTATACACTATGAGAGATGATGCCTGTAGGTGTTTTAAGAGATTGTCAACTTTTTGTGTGTATTATTTTACATCGTAAGGGATTTGTGATTTTAAAAAAAGTTTGCTCACATATTATTTATGGTTGTGATTGTAAAATTGTGAATGTGAAGTTGTTTTTGGATGTATTTTTTTTTGTAGTTTGGGTGGGGGTATTTTGGAACTTTTATGGAAGCTCCGTCTCCTGCTTATGTCAGGACAAAACAGTGTAGTAACACGTCTTTTTATTGTAATTGAACCTCAGTTGATATGAGGGAAATAGCATGGAATTTGACCCCGAAGTTGTGAACGGATCTATGGGAGTTAATCTCTGAAGTACCTATGTGGATATAAAGGTACTGCAGACATTTTGAAGGAACAGACTTTGACGTCTTAAGCCTGTTTATGGTTCTTGGCTTTTATACAAAGATATGGTTGATGTTTTGAAGAAACAAACTCTGAAGTTGTAAATAAATGTAATGTTTTACAGTTGTAACACGTGTGGTGAGGTTTGATGTCCAAGTGATTATAACATTTAAAAATAGTATATTGTCAGCATCATTCTACATTTTTACCGAAATCAATTTTTAAATGTGTCCAGATGAAGCCATATATCTGAATAAAGACATCAGGAGGCGTTTCACAATGCAGTTTCGTGCTGTTTCTTTAATTCAGTTCTTGGTTTTAATCAAATAACAAATCATAAAAACCCAAGTCACGTTTCTGATTTGGGCTATCCCTTTTGCTTTAATTTTCTCAAAACTTCAAACATGACTTGTTGAATGACGCTAATGATATTCTTATTGCATCAGTCAGCTCATGAAGCTGACTAGGATCATGAGGAAAACATTTCTCTATGGTGCCGTCATAATCTGGTTTGTTAGAGAGGTAAATGAGACAGGCTCTTGTTCAATTTTTTTTTTTCAAGTTTATTTTGCCTACTACTGGTTGGTCCTACTTCTTTTCTTTCCTTTTGTATTTTCTGTCCACTTTTTCTGTGTACTTAATGACTGTCATCTTGTCAATGTGCTTCTTCTTATAACCCAAACTAATGCTGTATTGGTAACTTGTCTTTAGGAAGGTGATTGTTTTATTTTCTAGATTTAGGATAAGGTGTGTGTGTGCTTGCATGTGTGCATAAGATGTCCTGTTATTGCAATAATAAACAACTTTTACCATCCTTGGATGAGAATGTATTGTCACATATGTAATATACAATATTCACTGAGCACTGGGATCTTAGGCGGAGACTATTGTATATATATATATTTTATACCTCTGTGAAATTCATGACTTGTTTCTTTCTGCTTCGCTTGTTTTTGGTACAATTATTTAAAATGTCATAGATTGTAATTTATGGTTACAGGTGGATGGTGAGCACCACTGGTACGTCTCACTTTTATTCTTTTCAATACATTGTCTCTGCCTGTCTATCTTGCCTTTTCTATAATTTAATATGCTAAGTGACCATATTCGTATCAACCAATGTACTCAATCCCAGAACTTACAGTAATTTTGAGGGTTTTGTTTTGTATAGACTTTTTATACAGTCCCTAAACAAAATTTTAATATGAATTCACTGAGCCCTGGACCTCTTGTACATGTGTACAGAACATCAGCCACTGAGCTCCTGGGAGAAATCTCCTCCACTCACACCACTTAATTCTGAAGCAATTTTGATGGATGAAGGGCAAAGGTTGTGCATGCTGTGTTGTGCACTTGTGCTCAGGTGGATTAATATGTTAATGTAAGAATGTTTTTTATAAAGCCACATACATAGGCCACCATGCATTGTCCGTTTGTTTATCTTTATGTCTTAATTTGTAGCTTGAGTCCTTTGTATTATCTGTTGTGGTCTTGAATGCTATTTTTTTCCCCCTTTAAAGCGATGTGTACATGATGCTCGTAGACATCGTCTGTTAGTGCATGAATGGCTGGCTTACCATTAGACCTATACATTTTTTTGCGTCTTTGAAATCATTTTATTTATATTATCTTCTTTGATCAAGCTGCAAGGTTAATTGGTATCATGCTGGACTGTGGCTTCAGCAAGCCTGGTTCAAATCCTCAAAGGGGGCAGTGTTAAGCTAATTGAGGAGATTCCTTAACTGAATTTGTTGTTTTGAAAATTATGCTTTCATACCTTGCCATACCAACCATTATTTATTCTATTGTGCCACTGTTTCTGTGATTGGTTATCTTTTAAAAGAAGCAGTACTTTGAAATTCATACAGATTTTTCAATCCTCTTTTCTTCATCTGAAATGGCAAGCAATAACATGCATACTATGAAATGTGTGAATTCATGTTTCTGATTTGTGTCCGACGGTTCGAAATGTGCCTCAACATTATTTTGGTATACTGCTCGTCCGACATGTGTCCACTGTATCCGTAAAGAGTTAAAAATCATTCTGTGAGACCTTCATTATGTAGGTAAAAGGAACTTTTCCAAGAGCGAATGAGGAAATGTGAAGTGTGCAATACATATAAATGTGAAAAAGCTGAGTGTTTACAATTTTGATTTTACTGGGGATTTTTTGTTAAAGATCTGAATTCTGTTGCTTACATGTAGCCTGTTTTGAGTACCCTCTGCTTTCTAGAATTAATCAAATGCTTCAGCTTTGGCTTAGTTTAGTAGCTCATATTTTATTTTTAAAAGTTGATCATAAGTAACTTTTGTACCAGAATGGATTTATCTTTTTTTTTGGTTTTATTTTGGGTGTTTTGATTGGGGGGATGAGCATCTGAATAAAGAAATGAATCGCAGACCTTGTCTGTTTGAGATCCGGCTCTAGAACGAGAAGAACATTTCTGCCAACTCACTTAATCTTAAAAGTAGGCCTATCATTATCTTCTCCTGCTCCTGACCCAGTCTGCCTGTAAGACCAGACTCAGACTCTGAGAACACACCAAATTGGACTGGACGGAATGAAGATTCTCTTTCTATTATATGTCATCAAATCAATATAATCTGATCTCCCCTGCAGAACTGACACCTTTCTTTTTCTGATGCATAGACCTATTCCGTATAAGTAATTATGACCTAATCTTTTGTTCACCGTGCCATATTGTTTTGTATATTTACTTTGGACAAATTGTCTGGAAACCACTCTGGCATGGACAGGATTAAAGAAAACTTGCACATACCTTGTTCTGATTGTGGACCAAAGGGCGAAAATGTGCGGAATAGCAACAACAACAACAGCAACCTTTGTGAAAAGAAATTGACTTTAAATTGGTGTCTCCCTTTTCTCATTCTATTACTAATGATTACGGTATGCTCAAGGTTAATTATGATTTTTATTTTCGTCCTGAAGACTGGTGTTAGCTTGAAATTAGTGCTTTAAAATATTTCTCCTTCTCCTGTGAGATGTGAGTTTTTGTGTATAAATTGAATATTTAGACACCAATAATCATAGTTCTTGTATAATGGAGCTCTTCTTAATTATAATTATAAAAATGCATAGTCCTCATGAAGGGTACTAATAGAAATTGCTTGTAGACTGGGCTGCATTGGAAATTGATCATTGCTGTTGGTGTTTTGCAGAATGTTTTGGAATGATACACGTATTTTGCTCAGAAAACATTTTTTGGGTATGAAACTATTATACATCTATGCACTCAGGCAGACATGCTGTACATACATATTCAAAGAATTTCTTTCATAATTTTTATCCTTACTTTGCTTTATAATTAGTATGTTTAGTATGTTGTACACATACTTGTTATATTTTTTATTGCGATATATTTCCCTCCTTTTGACTATCGTTCCATTTTGTCTAATTTGTCAGCATGGTAGTTTTAATAAACACTACGTAGTACTCATGACTTGGTTTTATGTGTTTTGTATTTCTAAATTTTACTATCACCTACACTTAGTTGTGTCCTGTCCTCAGTTTTATACAGTCTATACTATCGACTGCGTAAACAAATTATAGTACCATCGTATAATTTGCTAATGATTCTTACTTTTACTCCAGCACATATGCACTTCTCTTGGTGGTCAGACGGCCGTATTTTTGACTGCAGATCACACAGACGGCCGTATTTTTGGCTGCAGATCACACAGACAGCCACTAAAACTGTTACAAATCAACTATAATTTTTCAAAGAGAGCTCAAAAGGTCTTGGGTTCAAAACCTGACAGCAGAAAAACACCCCCCCCCCTTCCTTAATTTCTTCTCTAAAATGTTCTCTTTCATCTTGTTTCCTATTCTCTAGTCACGTTTTATCATCAACTATCATCTCCACTCTCCTCCCCCTCCCACCCCACCCTCGGTCTCTTAAAATTCTGGGCTCCTCTCTCCTTTACCCCTTACTCTTTCAACTACTATTTCTGCCTCCTTCACCTTCTTACCGTTGTCTTTCAGTATAACCTCCTTGGCCACACACCTGATCCTAGGGCGTAGGGAAGATCGAACATCTAGTCTTCTCGGAAAAGGGCGAAAAAACTTAGTGATTCCGTGTGCAAGCTGCTCACGAAGGTCCCTTGGTCGTCCTAAAATCTATAAGGATAGGCTTCGGCCCCCACCAAGTCTACATTCAAAATTAATTTCGCCTCTCATTCAATAGGTCCCGGGTTCGATTCCGGATAGCGTGGAAATTTTTTTTCTCGAGAATGTTCTCCTTTCACTCCCTTCCCTGCTCTCTAGCAATGTTTTGTCGTCTGCCTTCGACTCCATTGCACTTTCTGCCCTCACCTCCTTTGCCGCTTTCTTTGGGCTTCTGACTCTTTCTGCAGCCTGTCTACTGCTACTCCTTGGCTCCATCTTACTGCTGTCTTTCAGCCACACCCCTGATCTTATGGAAGGTAAGAGTTACACCTAGCCTTCTCAGACAAGGGCGAAAAATCTCGGAGGTCCTGTGTGCAAGTCGCGGACGTTAAAGATCCCTTGGTGGTCCAAAATCGATAAGAGTAGGCTTCGGTTGGAATGTCTAGACTTTGGAGAGATGCGAAGGAAATACTTCAAATGCAAGAAATTGCAAGACATTTTTTCCGTCGTTGGTCCCAACAGAATCTTGGATTTTGGCCTTTACGGGAAATTATAAAATGAAACAATATTGTTAAAAATTTTATTGTTATTTATTAGAGTTGTTTTAAATTGAAAATGTATTTACACCGAATTTTAATATCTTAACATTTTAAAGTCTAATAGTTGACCAACCGTGCAGTGAACTGTTGCGAATGCAACCAACTTGTGTTTCGCGCGCTCATACGACCTTAATATGCAGTTGCGAGCGCCGTAAAACCCCATACTAAACTAAACAAAAGTAAGCTTCGGTGCCACCAGCGCAAAATTCAAAATTTCCTACCTACTGACAATGTTTGGTGTGTCCCGTGCTTTAATATGACCTTATGTAGTTGCGCGTGTCGTAAACTAAAACACTAACCAGTTTTTTAAAAAAATAAACTAACGGTCGACTACCTCTGAGACGAAGAAGAAGAAGAAGAAGAAGAAGAAGAAGAAGAAGAAGAAGAAGAAGAAGAAGGAGGAGGAGGAGGAGGAGGAGGAGGAAGAGGAGGAGGAGGAGAAGAAAAAAATATTTTCAAATAAATGTTCAAATATAATAGCTACTCAAAACAAGTTAGGGACCACTACAGTCTTCACTAGATCTATAGTACGTTTGAGACTGTGTAACAAACAAATATTGAGAAGTTAGGTGAGTGGGTTGTTGTCATTGTAAAGAAGGGTCATCACTGTTTACAATGATGAACACATGTCGTTTAATTTACGCTGCCTAGACAGAGTGAAAGGGGGCCAATTTTTTGTAAAATTGAACCTGTTTTTGACTATCACTTACGTGATTTTCAGAGAGTGGTATGGTTAAAAACCAACTCTTGGGAATGCACGCTTCCTTCACTAATGCCTGAGTGGGTTTGACGGTGCTAGGGGTTGTTTTTTTTCGGGCACATTAAGCAATTTTTAACAATGCCTCCAAGAAGACGTCTGAGAAACATCGACAGGGGACGAGCCCTAGCCTGGTTCCACGAAGGGATTGTTGTCCGTGAAGTGGCAAGACGGCTTGCTGTGAGTCACTCAGTGATCATCAAACTGAGAGAACGGGTTTCTGCTACTGGAACAGCTGTTGAGCGAAGGCGGTCCGGACGGCCACGTTGCACCACACGACGAGAGGACCGGACAATCGCCCGAACCTCCCTGGCAACCCGAATCTGCACTGCCCGTCCCACCAGACAGCAGGTGGTACCCCCAGACAACGTTGTAATCAGCGACCAGACCATTAGAAACCGGCTGCGTGAGATTGGTCAACGCTCCAGACGACCAGCAGTTCGGGTTCCACTGACACAGGCCAGGGGAATTCCCGCAGAACCTGGTCCGCCCAGCACCTGAGGTGGACACGCCTGCAGTGGTCTACTGTGCTCTTCACGGATGAGTCCAGGTTCACATTGTCCTTCAACGATGACAGGGTCTGTGTTTGGAGGCGTCCTGGTGAGCGCTTCCGCGACGACTGTGTACGGTATGACCGGTATGGAGGAGATAGGACTCAACCACCGGACCCTCCTGCATCGCATTCAAGGCACCTTGACGGGTATCTGCTACAGAGACGAGATTCTCTGCCCCAGTGCAATTCTAGCTCTTCAGGCAATGGGCCAGGACGACAACGCCAGACCTCACCGCGCTCGAGTGGTGGATGACTTCCTGCAGCAGCAGCTCGTGATCAGGCTTGACTGGCCAGCCCGAGAAGGCCAAACACAAGGACGTGTGTTCTAAAAATAGATTTTTAAATAATGGACCCATGGTACGCCCCGATCCGGCCTGTTCCCTCGGCCAAAGAGAGTCGCCAGCCCAATCGCTGGACCTTAGTCCCATTGAACACTTGTGGAATGCTCTTGGGCGCCGAGTAAGAGACCATCAGCCACCCCCAAACAATGTGGATGAACTCTTAAACATTTTGGACCAAGAACTGCAAGCCATTCCTCAACTGACATTTCGAACACTTATTCAGTCCATGAGACAAAGATGCAATGACTGTTTTCTTGCAAATGGTGTCCAAGCGCGATTTTGAGCCCGTATTGTTTATGACGGTTGTGATGTGAATTTTAAAAACATGGGTTACCCCCTTCAACATCTGAAATTGCCCATTTTCCATTTAAAAAAATGTGCAAAATGTCGTTTGCAAAAGGTGATATTATGATGAATAAAGACACCTCTCAAACAATTTATTTGAACCGTGTCATGTTTTTCAGTTTTATGTACTATGTGTGACTTTAAGTGGTCCTTAACTTTTTTGAGCAATATACAAGTATAATACATTAAGTATTAGTCATATTGAGTCAAATCGTGTGAAACAGATAAAAATGATCAAGAAAAGGGTTATAGAACAACAATACCCGAGTCGGCCGCCAGAGCATGAGATTGGAGTGAAAGTAAAAGTAGAATAATACATGTTCGAAAAACGTGTCGTAAATGATCAGAAACAGTAACAGTAACAGCGCTTGATTCGTGTTTAGCGAGTAGAGATCACCGAATTCTAGAATTCTGTGGTTGAGATCGATCGCGGGCAACAGGTTTCGCATTCATTTATAATAATGATTAAAACGCGAGTTTGTCAGAGAACGGAAATGTCAGAGAAACAATAGAGCTCTTTAAAACTAAAAGTTCTTTTGTCACTAGCGAGCCGGCTCTTCCGCTGAAAGCGAATTCTTCCATCCATACCCTGTTGATGCATGTCTGTGAACCATAGTACAGAGGAATTTCAAGCCTAAAAATGAGCTCAGCCCATAACTCTGTTGCAAACAGGTTTATACTGTATTCCTATACAATTTGAAGTGTATTCTGCTTTCTATAAATGAGTCATTTAAGCTTGCATGTTCTTATTCCATAGCGTTTTCTTGGTAACCAATGTAAACAAAACTGTCCGTCACCCAATTAGATATCTAATATTATTATAAATAATATGATTAGAGCCTACTTGCAAATGTCTAGTCCCCTTTTGTACACTAGCAGTTCATTAACTTATCATAAGTGAGAAACTTTTTTTCTCAACACATAGGCCCGTAGGACTAGATTCTAGATCTACAGCTGTGGCTGTGCTGTAGCATTTTATCACATTCCAGTCAGCTTTGATGAAGCTGAACCCCAAATTAAGTCACAGTACTGTGGTAGATCTAAATCTAGATCTAGATTATATATCTAGATCTAGATCTCAAAATCTACATCTAATAGTAAAACTGAAACTGTTGAAAAATACTTTAGCCTAGATATTTTGTGGGGTGTATGGGGCTAATCGCGGTTTGGGTAGGAGTTGGGTCGGGCTCTCTAAATCAGCGTCCGCGAGTAACGAACTACTCGCTGGCACTACCCGCAAACGAGCAGACTGGTAACGAAAAGTCCGCTTGTGAAGAGTAGTTCGCTACTCACTACACGTTACATCGGAAAGAGACTGCATGCAGTTCGTTTAGCGAGCGGGCGGACGGAGAGACTCCATGCATTCGAGCGAGCGGATGGACTTCTTAAATACTCGCAATTTCAAATCATGGAAAAGCACATGAAGTAATAATGATAGAGCTACCACATAAGGAGTTCCTCAGGATCCCCAACACGTTCCTCCATTCCCCCCCCCCCCCCCCCCCCCCCCCATCCAACAAAAAAATAGTAATCAGACAACGTAAATACCAAAACCGACCGATGGCACTTTGTATTTTTAGACCACTTTTTGCGGGCAACACATTATCTTTCACTAGAAGAATGCAAGCTCAATTTGGGTATTTACGCTCGTAGACTGGAAAAAAAGTAATTGATACTGATATGTATAGCAAAGTTAATTTGGATTTAAATTGGTGCAGTTTATAACAAAACACCATAGACACTTCGTTCTAACAGGGGCCAAGCTTGTCTGCGATCAACAAAAATGCCTTAAACAATGGACGCAGTTTCTTTTGTTTACTGCGCATTTCTCGACGATCAGCTGGGGACCCAGATATGCGCATCCGGACGAAGTGTCAGCTCTCTAGTATTACTGTAAACTTTCTGGTACTACGTCACCAGCCTCTCTCACACCCTGTGGCACTGCTAGAGGCTTGAAACATTAGACCTAATTAACAAACAATAGGCGATGGGTCTAATCTCGCTTCGAGTATCTCGTCTGCTAGAGTTCGGCCGTTCGCCCGCCCGCTCAGTGAATAAAGTTGTGGAGCGGACCTAAAAAAACTAACTGAGGCTTGAGGTCCGCAGTCCGCTCGCTGAGAGAGTGAAATTGTTGAGCGGACCCAAAAAACGAACTGTCTTGAGGTTCGCAGTTTGCTCGCATTGCCGTCCATTACCAGCCTGCTCAGACTGAGTCCGCGAGTAACGAACCCGTCTGTCCGCTCGCCCCAACTCTAGTTTAGGGTTCATAAGTAGACTTAGGGAGGATTCAAGATTCAAAAGAAGAGACTATCCCTCCTGATTAAGGACTGTTAGAGGTTTCAGAAACTAATACTAATATTGAATTATATATTGATTCGTGAAGATTTACATCTAAATCTGAGATGGTGAGTATTTTTCTCCCTGTTTAATGATGCGAACACTTTTTATTTTTATAGGTCAACTCTGTGCATATATAAATGCCTTAATATATGCAGTCGAACCTGTGTAAGATGGAATTGCAAGGGAGCCAGAAAAAAATTATGTCTTAGACATTTTCCGTCTTAGATAGTGGAATTTAGTCGGAAATGGAAGGGGGGCGGGGTTCAAAGGCCCAGCCGGTGGGATCAAAGGTCGCCTGCCCGATCAACAGGCAGTGGTCAAAACTTCACACCTCTCAATTGCTATCCTGTCTGATAATGACATGTTGTAGTCTTACTTATCCAATTATGACCAGTGCTTGCCTTTCATAGGACCACTGTTTGACCTATTAAAAACAGAAACGTTTAACATCTCCTTTGCTTTCACCTTTAGCCCCACCCATCGGTGTAATAAGCACAGTCTACCAATGCCATCCCTCACTGCCATCATGTAACAACGATTCGAGAAACTTTTCTTTATTGGCCGTACAATCAAGGCGGCAGGCATTGGTCAATCTAATTTCACACCTCTGGCATCTGGCTACCCAGGAAAGTTTCCGTAGTAGCTCGGGACTCGAGCACTCTTACGGGCAGACGTGAGATTTCACACCCACATCACCCTGACCATCTGCATCGCTCAGGGCTCACATGATGAGGTAACATCTTCCCCCAAATTGCACCCCTACTCCCCTTCCTCGCCAGCAGCATGGCCATGGCGATAAGTTTAGATCCGGTGGAACCAAACTTGCCGTCTGCCTATCTGTCTGTCTGTCTGTCTGTCTCACTCTCTCTCTCTCTTTCTCTCTCTCTTTCTCTGTCTCTCTCTCTCTCTCTCTCTCTCTCTCTCTCTCTCTCTCTCTCTCTCTCTTTCTCTCTCAATAGTCAACCTCAATTTGTCATTCGTTTTCTTGCAGCATTTGTTATGACTGACTTTCCCTACATTGGAATTTAAAAAACTGTGCTGTGCCTGTCCTAGTGCCTTTATGTTTATTTTGTTTCCTTTTTTTTAAACAACAGAGATGGTCAAGTGAAGTTTGCGCAGTCCAGAGTGGCCACAGTGGAACGATTCTATGGGATTTTTTGTGACACATTAGGATCAGTTATTCGCAAATCAGCGAGGCTGAGAGATAAAGGTATGTGCTCAAATTTGATAAATAGTTTAAGTAGGGCCTACTCTTTTTTGGATGACATATTATGTAGAGAAACTAAATTTCATATGGTTAAAAAAACCCATCATGGTCAGTGGTTTAAATTGTCAGGTTTTTCTATTACATGCAGGAGATGAGAGTTTGATGCTCACCGAGGGAAGTTAATTTTTAAAAAAATCAAATTAAGTATCTCCATCTGTCTGTTGCAAAGTTGTATCTCACTCAGTCTGGCAAGCCTTGAGAGGCATAGGGTAGAGGTAGCCTGCCCTTAAATGATTTAAATTGTGTTATTTATTGTTTGTCTAAAACAGCTGAAAATCATTTACAATTCACTTTGTATTGGAAGCTAGTGGTAGGGCACTTATCTCTCATAAGTTTTAAAACCAAGATGAATATAAGACGTTAGTATAATTTGTGACATTGCACAGTGGAATCAGGCTCTAGTCAACTTTTAGGCACGTACCTAGAGTTATGGGTAGCATCTAAAAGCTTGTTCATTTTTCTTGCTTTTGAAGAAAAAAATACCTATCTATCTTGAATAGAAGTTGGGATTTTTATGCTTGAAAGAGGTGGGGATTATGTAATGTCGGAGTTTAAGTATGAGAGAAAATAATTGCCATAGTTTGATGACTTACAAACCTTGAAAAGTGCAAATTTAGGTTTTTTGTGCATTTGCTCAATAATTTTAAGTAAAATCCACACAGAAATGTCCTCGTGTTTTTAAATGGAGTTAAAAGGTGTTGATTGCCCCCCCACCCCCTTTAAAAAAAACTGAACAAAAAATAATAAAAAATGAAATAAAGTAAAATGAAATAAATAAATAAATGAATAAAATAAAAATAAATGAAATTGATAAACATTGCCAAGTGGGCTGAAAATGTCGCTGTCTTTCATATCATTATTTTTATGACTTTATTGAACTCATTTTATTTTTTGAAAAAGAGGACTTTGAACATTTTGTCCATTGCACAATTGCTGTGGAATTCCCTCCCTCTGCATATGTCAGACAAGCACCTACTTGACTGTACCTAAAACTGATCTAAAGACTCAATATTTAAATCTTATTTAACCGTTAACCAGGTACCGTGATTCTTCTTTGAACAACAAATTTTATTAGGATCCACAGGGATTGTCATTTCATGTTCTTTTCCAGAACATTCTTGTGTGTATATTCTGAGTGAATGTATTTGGGCTGGTATGCGTGTAACGTGTCATTGTGTGAGTTATAGAAATTTTATTTTTATTGTGAAACAACTAGAGCCATTAGTGATCGAGTATAGGTGCTATAGAAGTGATCTTTGTATCATTATTATCTTATTATTATCAGTATTATATTATTAATGTAACTGCAAAAACATACTCCTATGGGAAACAGAAAAAATGGCTTTATGAGTTGTATCAAACTTAGGTTTTATGGCCTAGTGCTTTGTGTTTTCTTTTCACTGAGTTTAAGTTGGCTATATGAAGGACTTCTTTTAAAAAAAATTCAGTTTGACTTTAAGAACAATGCTGCCAACTATACTCATCCCATAAAAAAAATATTCCATCTTATTTTTTGATTGATGGTATTGTCCCAAATTTTGCTCTGAGCGTATTTGATTTCCTGATCTATTTTGTCTGTATTCTCTAGGAGACTTGTTTGCACATCATTTGAAAGAGTACACTGAGACTGAAAAGTTCAACAACTCCACCAAAATTTGCTTACAGACTTTTGCGGAAAACTTTTCGACGATACAAGACTACAGAGATACAGAGGTAACTTCTTTTGTTTAAAAAATTAAAGAGAATTTTAAGTACCCTCGTCCTTTTTTATGATCAAACTGTAGGTGGTAGAGCATTACTGGTAGGCCATACTTTTTTATCGTCCCTCTTTTATTTGTGACAATTGTTTCACGCTCTTGATGAGCCTGTGACCACTCAGTTGACCACCTCACACTCACCAGACCAAGGAGACACCTCTCTCTTTACAGCATGAAAGTACTTTTCTTTTTCAGTTTCTGACCTTCTAAATAATAGCCTTCACAAAAAAAATTATGGCGCCATGGTGAAATCAGGCACTCGTCAATGTAGGGAAACCTCCTTTTTTTGTTCCGTTGTGAAATCTTTATTGACTCTTTTTTTTTCAGAATTGGCGCTGTTTAAATATCCATTGAAAACACATTTCTGAGGAAAAAACATTGATCAGAGGTACACGAAAAATATCTATTTGCAGTTTCCAAGGACAATCAAGCTTTGGTTTGGAAGTCTCCAAACTTTGGTGGCTATTTTCTCGCTTATTCTACCTCCGATGCCAGTAGATCCCCTCCTCCTTCAATCCCAAATATCTTAACTTCTATTCAAGACAGATAGAAGATATTTTTTACTCCAGATGCAAGGAAAATGAACAGGCTTTACAATTTAATACCAAAAACTCTATATACCCAAAATTGATAAATGCCTGATTCCATCGTGTTGTGACACAAATCTGTCCATGCTGCCTCATTTTTCTCTCTTTGTTTTGCTGTTCTTGAATCCGTGAACTTGCTCCCCTTTAGGAGACATGACATTTTTCTTATCCAAAAACCTTTGTCTTCGTCATGCTGTATGTATTGCTACCTGAGACCTTTTAATAAATCAAATCCTGAAACTGGCTAATTTGTTCGAAACAGGTGCAAAGGCTAGAAGCAAAAGTCCTCAAACCCTTGATGAGATATGGGGAGTTGTGCAAAAATATGAAGGTGAGTTAATGCCATCTATTTTTTCATGGTTAAGAATTTACTCTAGCAACTGATTATCCAGTGTTTGGAAAGAAACTTGTGATTTGCTTTATGGAGTATTTCATTATTGTAAATAAAATTGCTAAGCTTCTATTGTTGCTATTCTACCTATACTTGGTTTTATTGTCTTAGTTTTTAGATCAAATTTTGGATCAATTTTTTTAGTTAGACGAAACCGCGTCCAGTCCACCCATATGCTCCATGAATAATTATTGTTAAAATATTTTTAACCCTTTTGTGTTAACACTCTTTGCCAACAATGCTACCCATTTGTCAACTTCCTTTGCACTCAACAGCCTTCTGGTGTTCACTTTCTTTTGTGCTTTGAGGAAATGACAGTAAAATCTGACAGCTGACGTTGGTTCAGACACACTTTTCTTTTAAAAATTGAAACCAAGGCTACAGCTAAATGTCTGTGATCTGTTTACAACACAGCCAAGCTTATCATGCAGGAAATCCCATTGGAGAAACAAGTGATGTGAATGCCTGGTTTCAATAAGGGTGAACAGGAAAGGGTTAAAAGAATATATAATGTACTAATCTGTTGGGTTCGTTGATAACACTGTTGATATATTTTTATGTTCTTATACCTGAGACACATGTATTAGGCTGACCTGTGTCCAACTGTTATATTCACAGTCAAGCGTGAAGGGAAATACAACAGCTTGGGAGAGAGAGAAGAAACAAGTAACAAAACTCGAGAAGTTACAACAGAAGCTGCCATCATCTAGTCCTCAAGTTGTATCCTTTGTCATAATCGTTTGGTGCTTTCTTTGTCTCTACAAGCGTATATCCCTGTTCATTTAATAAAACCAGCTCGTACTTGTTGGACTCAGAACAGGACACAGCAGACTGAGTATACAGGAAGCTAAGGATTGGCTATCCAGAGACGTATGAGCCTACACTTGCAACACAATACCCATGCTCACAGAACATCTGCTAGAAAATTATCCAATACAAGACAGTCCTAGGGCAACCACATGGGCGGAGCCAGTGTCATTTAGCAACAAATTTTGTGAGGATGTCTGGTGTCACCATATAAAGAATGATGATAAAGAGGAAGAATTATCCTTACAGATTAATAGACTGTAATACTTTAGATTTTTTTCCTCAGAGAATAGTTCACATTTCTTGATATTTTGTGCCAGTTTTTCCTGTGGTATTTACTCTAGACCTTGATAAGTAATTATGTTGGGGTCATAAAAAAACTGCCCATAAGCTCAGTCATTGAGGTACAGGCTTAGATCTAGTGACTGAGACTTTCTACTTACAAACCCATGTGCGTGTTGTAACAGTTAGGATCTTGCTATTGCACACACAAGACATGAGTTCAGTTCCGGAGTAAAGAAGCTTTTTCTTGAGTAATTTCTGTCTGTCTGCTAGAATGTTGTATCATCTTAGTTCGGATTGGCTCTGAAAGGCAGGGTCGAAGCAGTCCACCCCCAAAGTGATATAGATTATGTGGATAAGGATGTAAACCTTTACAAACGAACTTATACTAATGAGTCAGGTCAGTTAGCTGCCAGTTAATCTAGAGGAATAAACACTCATTTTGTTGTGCTCAAGAGGACATCTCATAATCTTTTTGCAAAGAAAGGGCATTTGAAAAATTTTGCAACAAATACCATTTTTGATTTTTGCTCACTAGGACCACCGTTTCTGGCTAGGTGAAGCTAGCAAATTACAGAATTCTTTCTCGCAAAACATTATTTTCCCCCTTCAAAGCACTGCATGTCCACTCAGTTTCCCCCTTTTTTTTTTTCAAAACATGAAAAAAGCTGCTGACATTTCTTGACAAATCACAACATTTCCCTTGTTTTCCAGTCAATCTCTTTTCTAGAGTCACGTGACTTCACTACACAAGTGGATCAATAGTTCTTTCCGTTTCTGATTATATGTCATAAAGTTATGCTTCAATGCTTTTCGTGTTTAAAAGTTGCCCCTCATTGTTAGAATTTAAAAAGTTGTATTGATGGTTTGATGCTGAGAAAAAAAAAAGAAATAACACTTTGAACTAAAAAGTAGATTGCAAGGGATTAGATTGTTGTATCTGATTTGCTGATACAAAATCACACAGTCTGTTGTATGTTTTTCAAATTTTGAAATTACACTTTTTTTTTTACCTGTGTCATTTTAATTTTACTTGTGACTAGATTTTGCTTTTCAAGATTATTACCATTTGATTTGTCTCAAATTCTTTAAAAATCAATGGATGTCTAGTGTTTTGTAAAAAAAAAATGTGCGGAGGTTTCATCAATTTAAAGGATGAGAATCCAAATATAAATTTAATTAAATCATCTCTGCTTTAAATGATCTTTTCTCATGAAACAAAGTTTTGCAAGTTAATTCAATGAATAGGTGAAAAAAAAAAAAAGAAATCTGCTTTTCTCCAAATCATATTAACATGGATATGTTGCCTTTTGCTGTGAAACTACATGTATTCATATGAGGGGGGGAAGGGGGGGGGGGGGTCAAGAAGTCTTTGGTCTAAATATGAAGGAATAAAGATAGAGCTTTGTTACTTGGCACACATACTTTCATTTCTCTACATAGTCACCATGCCACCTCTCTTTAACCTTCAAAAGTCCTTGAGAAAAAAATGACCCTGAATGGGCCCCTAACCAGTCTTCCACAGCTTCAATGGCATCCTTGTTGTCATGGAAATGACGTCCTTTCAGTGACTTTTTAAGATTAGGAAACTCAAAAAAGTCTGAAGGGGCTAGGTCTGGTGAATAAGCTGGGTGTGGCAGGATTTCAAAGCCGCACAGTTCTACTGTCTGGGCTGTTTGTTTTTCCCTGTGCGGAAGGGCGTTGTCATGCAGTAGGAAGACCCCATTACAGAGTTTTCTATGACTTTTTCTCACCAACCCAGACCGCAGTTTTATCAGCAAACCCGAATAGTTGTCCCCTGTGACTGTTTTTCCATTTTTCCCGGTAGTCAGTCATGATGATACCTTCACAATCCCAGAAACATGACAGCATGACCTTTCCACTTGACAGTGTTACCTTGGCCTTCTTTGGCGAGGGAGAAGAAGGGATTTTCCATTGCATGGAGCCCAATTTTTGTTCTGGATCGAAATGATAAATCCATGTTTCATCCGTCGTCACCATGTTTTTAAAGAAATTTGTGTCATTGGACTCTATTCGAACGAGAGTTTTGCAGGATTCAACCCTCTGCTTCTTTTGCTCACTTGTCAAAAAGCAGGGTACCCACCCCGCAGACACCTTATTCTTGTTTAGATGGTCATGGAGAATTGTTTCCCATTTCACTTAAGAGCTGTTTAACAGTTATAGGTCGGTCTTGTAAAACCAGTTTCTTCACTATGGATACATTCTCTTCAATTACCTCAAAGGATGGGGCCCTTCATGATCTTCATCCATCACCGACATGAATTCAGATTTGAATTTTCTTATGCAGTATGTCACAGTATTGTAACGAGGACATTTGTCGCCATAAACTTGGACCATTTCCTGAAAAATGTCAGAAGCGGATTTTCCTTTCTAGTGTAAAAACTTGATAACTGAGCGGTATTCAACAGGCTTCATGGCACAGCTTCAGCAATGAAAAACCAAACGTTTTTGTGCATGGTTTCATTGAACATGCTCTGACTAGTGCCTTATTATTGTCGGATTTTCTAAAAAATGTGCATGGTGTGTTCCAAAGGAATTGTCTAAAGGCTGGCGAAATTTCATGACTCTACCATAATTCCTTCATACCCAGAGCAAAGACTTATTGAACCCCCCTCGTACATCTTTGACTGTCTTTATATTTTCTTTAGCTTTTACAGGAGCTTCTTTTTTCCTTTACTTTGACCCAGACAAAGGTATTTACATAGTGAATGTGTGTACCAACAGCTTTCTGCACCTGAGTGGCTGGAGTAGAGATGCTTTTGTGCATTTCCTTTATGAGCTTTCAACTTCCAAGTCCTCATTGTACTGTGGAGATGTTTCTTCATTACAAGTCAAGCATCATTTTTAAAGTCATGACCAAACAATTATTGTTAACAATTTTCATTGTTTTTGCATGAAAACCCGGTTTTCTGAGCATGTACAGACGAACAATAAGTATCTTTGTTCAATTTCATGTTTTCTATCAGTGGAGAAGATTTTTGCTGTAGTAATGACAGGCAAGCAGATGTTCTAGTTCAAATGTAACAGGATAATATGTGAGGAATCGTGGTAAAATCAGGCACTTGTCGAAATAATGAAATCTGAGAAATCAGCATTTTTCTGCCAGTTTGGACATTATTTCGAATCTTTGGTAATTGGGTCAAAACCTTGTGCGTCCATTCAAAAACACTTTTATGTGTGGATTTTATTGAAAAACGTTGACTAAAGGCACAAAAAATGTAAATTTGCAGTTTCCAAGGACTCTTAAGCTATGGAAATCACCAAACTTTGGCGGCCATTTTCTCACTAATTCTACCTCTGAAACCAGGCAACCCTTACCTCCTTCAATCGCAAATATCTAGACTTTTATTCGACATAGATGGATATTTTTTTCACCTAAAGGAAGGCAAATAAACAGGCTTTAAGATGATACAGATAACTTCATAATGCCCATATATTGACGAGTGCCTGATGCTACTGCGTTGTGACACATATAGTAATAATATAATCTGTGAAGACCATGATGACAGAATAGTTTCTGTGTTTTATCTTCTAGTATAGACAAAATCAAATTTTAAAGTTAATTTCACAATAGTTTGATTACTGGTATCCAAAGTACGTGTGGCTGTTAGGCCCTTTGCAATCGCAAAAAGGAAACCCAAATTCAATTCCTTGAGGTAGGAGAATTTTTATCAAGCATCTAGGTTTTTTTTGCTGGGATATTATGTACCACTTTCAGCAAGGATCCGATTGGCCCTGACTAGCAAGATCGAAGCCCATCTCCTTCATGAACTAAATTGTGTCAATGGGTGCATAAAAATACATTCATTTGGAATTTGTACTTTCATTGATTTTTTTATTGATCTATCTTTTATAAAGTGCTTATAACTCAGGAATGAGCTTGTTGTTTGGTATAATAACAATCTTTTTAGAGTAAATCATGGAAGCTAGTTATACTGTATAAGGCAATCTTTTGATAGTTTTGAGTTGGGTGACTTTGATTTCTTTTTCATTGTAGTAGTTTTCTTTGGTTTTGCTTTGTTTCAGGCACAAGCTGATTTAAACCGACTACGACAAGAGACAGGGGTTTATGGGGAACAGCTGATCTCAGAGGTGGATGTCTTTGAGAGGGGCAAACTTGCTGATATGAAGGTAGCTGATTTCTTATTTATTTTCATAAAGGCTTATTTGTTTTTTAATTTGATGAGGCAAGAAAGATAATGTTTCCATATTTGGTCAATGAGCTGTTAAAAAGTACTAAGTACTGAAGGTAAAAGTAGTGCTTTGTACATTTTAACAGCTGGCGGACAATTTGCTTTTGATGAGGATGATAAGATAAAATACGCTTTATTGATCTTTTATTTGAAGAAATTGGCACTGTTCTTTCACCAACTGCTGTAACACAAAATATGCATACATGACATATCAACACATCATATTCTTCCTCTCTCTCTCATACATTCTCCCTTCCGTTACTTATACTACCATGGTAACTCTATGTTCAAATATAATATACAACATGTAATGGAATAAAGTATTCCTTTTCTATTCACCCAATCCACAATCAGCCATGAAAGTTGAACAACATCTCATTAATGATTAGTTAAATTTGTTCTGAAGCCATTTTGACATCAGTAAAAACCTACCTTATTTTATATAGGCTACACATAGAGCCAGAGACAAATTTGAGCCTTGTATATTTTATATAGATTTAGAGTGTTTGGTGAATGAAACTATGAGAGCCGAGTAATGAAAATGTTTGATTTATACAGAAGAAAAAGTCTACTTGGGCTCTCTCTTTGTGCATTAAGATGAATTTTTTTAAATTTCAAAATTGCATGACTCCAAAAAGATACTTAGTTTCTGTATTGTCATCTTTATTCTTTAAAAAAGTGGGTAGCAGTACTTTTATTTTTAATTCTCTCTCTTTCTCCGACTAGTCTGTGCTGACAGAATTTGTACAGATAGAGATGATGTTCCACGCCCGGGCTTTGAAATACCTGTCCAAATGTTTCGAGGCTGCCCAGCGCATTGATACGGAAGCTGATATGGATGTAAGTTTATAATTGTGATCCGTTGAGTCCAATTATGTAACAAGTCAGTATTTCTTATACTGTCTGCAACGTGTTCGACATGTAAAAGTTGATCACTTTTCCAGGTTGTGTCTTTGCTTTTCAGCCCCTTAAAAAAATGTCTTCGTATCAGCATTTGCGGTGTAATGGTTAGGATCCTGGCGGTAGAACTCAGGTGTGAGTTTGATTTACAGCATGGGGAAGTTATTTAATAGAGTATTTCATTCAGCCTTTTGGGATAGGCTATTTTATTCCACTTAGCGTGGGTTGGCCCTATAGTCATAGTACAAGCAGCCCTCCTCCTAAATGATTTAATTTGTTCTCCGCTTGCAGCTAACTGTTTTTGGCAGAATAGCTTTTACTTCAGAAAAAAATAATCCTCTCATGTCGGTGTTTGAAAGTGTCTCAGGTTGGGCTTTTTTCTATTATTTCCCTCTTTTGTTCTTTCTGTCTGTCTTGCTTACTTTCATTGTTTGACTGACCATTATGTGTTTACTAGCTTTTTTTTTTTACTGAAACAGTCTTTGTATTGTTTATTAAAATGGTTTTGAAATCTCTCTTTTATTAGTTTTTGACTATGTTTGACTGCACTTTGCTGCTACTAAACACCAGAGTTTAAAAAGATTGGAATTGAGATGTTCAGTTGCTTTTTGTTGTTGTTGTTGTTTTCTTTGTTTTTTTTATCATTAGAGATAAGTACACTACTGCATAAGATGGGATGTGCGCTTATGCACCAGTAAATGTGATTTAAATGTATTTTTAAAAAAATGTTATTTCATTTTACTTAAATAGTAATGAATACTGAAAAAGTGTATACTATGATAATGGGATGTTTAAATATGTAGCTGTAGATATATATAATCCAAGTGTATTTCATTTTCACTTATGTTTCCTTTTTTTTTTTTTTTTCCAGCAATTTCGAGGGGCACTGCTAGAAGCCTCAGGCCTGGCCCGTTCTTTCACTCAGACGGGGACGTCCTATTCCTCCACAGGCTACTCTACGACACTCGGTGGTGGCACTCTGTCTTCATCGCATGGGTCAAACATGGCTCCCGGTTATCCTCAGCCGGTGCCAAGGGCACGCCCACGAGGGGTGAGTGTTGTTCTTGTTACATAATTGTTTTAAAGAGTAAAGAGACTTTTAGTTTATTCTCTACTGTCTCAGTTGATAGTAATAGTATGAGGGGTTTCGAATAAAACTCAACAAAATGATTGGAACAAAATTTTCATTAACTTATGTTTTAGTTGACATTGGCAAAAGTTGATTATGATATTCTTACTTAATTTACATACTTCCGCTTCTAGCTCCTTATGGAGCCTAAACCTCCAGCAAAAGTCTCTCCCATCCTCGCACTATGATTTATTGTAAGTGTAAATCGGCTTGTCTTACGTGTCTTTTCAACATGGTGTTGTCTTTGAGACCCATGAACATAAGAAGTGTCATTAACTCAGCTTTAAAAGTTTTTCCCAATCTTTGTATACCTTTGGAGTCCATTTCTAACTTGTGCACTATTTTTGCTTTCACTTACATTGTTTTTGAGGCCGATATGAAATCAGTGCAGCAATGATATTCATCTTGCATTTCTTCTGTTCATCGTGTGTCTGTTATTTTGTGTGCTATATTTGTGTCGCAGGATAGATATTGGTTTATGTATTCGTGTTACTTTTTTACCTGAAGAACACTTTGCACTGCCCAAATGTGTATTGAACTTATTCACTGTTGTATGTATCAGCTACTTTAACATTTTTTCCTTTTCAAAGGAAGCATTCTTAGTTAGTGTAAGGCATGTTGGGAGTGGCCAGAGGTGCCTACCTAAGAACAAAAAAGCAGACTAAAATAATAAATTAAATGTACCTTTTATAAATGATATAAGGGAAATTTGGTTTCAGAATAGCATACATTTTAACTCTCGTAAATGCATGCATATATTAATTTTTTTTACTAAAGTAACTCAATGGTCTGTATATCTCACCAATTCAATCAACTCACCATGGCTGGTCTTCGCTGTGCATTGCCTGTTATTATAGCAAGGTTTATCAAGTGTTGTCCAAGGACACTTCCTAGAGACTACCTACCTAAATGCCTTCCAACCAACATTTTTTAAAATGCTGGACACTATTGTGAGCTGAAGCTCCTTCCCACTCCACACTTAGAATACTGAAGCCCCTGGCATACGCTATGTGGCAAATAAAATTTTTTCAATGCTTTGACACAGTTTCATGACTGTTGACAGCTTATTTTATGAAGTAATTTTTTGGTCAATCTTTTCTACTCTAGTTTATGCATTCTACAGAGCTCTTTAGGGGTAAAGACTTGTGCTGAAAAAAATCCCAACTTATATAGATCTTAACTCATTAAGTGACAAAGCACTTTCACATAGCAATTGTGACCTAGTTGCACTCAGTGGTGTTTAAACTAAGCAATTAGAACTGATATAAATTGTCTCCTTATTCATTAACCTTTTCCTTCTTGTTATTATCATCTTTCTGTGTGTTCTCGTTTTTTTAGTCTTTGGGTTTCTGCATCTTTTGATTTACTGATAATGCCAGGTGTTAACCCATTGGAAATCAACATTTTTATCGACAAAATGTACATCACCCATTTGCCATGGTTTGCAATAAATAGCCCTAATGAATGCTGTTTTTTAAAATATTAGCTGAAACTACTTCATTGCTTTGGGAAATAAATAAATAATGTTTGAATCATATTCATAGTGTTTTAGTGGTACTAGTACTATTTATAGGGTTTTAGGACATGCTGTCCAAATATTAAAGCCTGAAGATCTCTTAATTAAAGTGCTTCAACATATAGTTTATTCAATAACTATTCCCAAAATACCTTTTTATGTACCCATTTGGAAACTATGAAAAGCCAAAAAAGTGTACATTTACTTTAAGTTAATGGGGAGTGGGGATATACCCCCTGGGACTTTTACGGTTCAGCAGGGTCACTACGGAGTTAAAGATTATAACAGGCCTCTATTGTAAAAAAGAAATATTTGACTGGTTATTTTAGTATAATATATAGTCTATATATTTACATGACTTAAGATGAACAAGAATTTAGTGTGACATATAGTACTTTCTTCATTTTCCGTCGAACTCCCAAAGAGTTCCTACTCCGATATTTACAAAAGCTGAAAGTGTTATTGTCTATAACATGAAAAGCTATTTTAAACTGCCTTTGGGCTTCCTTTGATTTAATTATTATAGTTTTTGTGATTGATTATTAACCTTTCTTAACACTTTTATACTAGCCTATATTCTAAACACTGTTGCTGTCGTTGGAAAAAAACATTTTTTAAAAAATTATGTATGTAACTCCTAATGTTTTCTCCTCTTTGTAAAGGAGAGTCAAACGAAGCTACGTATTTTTCTTGCGACAGTAACAATATGTTTCTCCAGTAGCCAAGAATACCATATCTTACCCTGATGTGAATGTGTATCTTTTCAGGACTCTGACACATACATTGAAGATTTTGACTACTAGCACTTTGCTGTGTTTGATATCACTTTTCTAACCTTCTGTTTTCTGTGTAAGTTGCACCCTGGATGTCACCACTGTTATTGATTTTTTAATTTGAATAGTATACTCTATTTTGTCCCCCATTTTATGTTCTTACATTTCATACTATTGATGTATGTGATGTGATTGTTTACTCTTACAAGTCACATGCTCTTTTCCTGTTTTGTTGCAGCAAATTTAATTGAAACTATGCATACGCTTGTGTTTCCTTCATAAAAAATGTAGCTTTCAAGCTATAACTTATAAGCTTGTATTGTATTATCTACAAATATGTTCAGAAAAGAATGAAGGTTTGCTATAGGTACTGGCAAGCAGATAACAATGATGAATGGGAAAGACAAACCAACAATACTCTAGCATCTGGTCTGTAGGCATTGCAGCCTCTTATAAAAACTTTGCTGCTGCATATGAAAGAAGAGATTCTCATGTTTTGAAGCGTACAGTAGTTTTCTAGTGTTGTGGTCTTGTCGCACTCAGCCTCTGTTGGCCATGACAACTAGGATTAAGCTGTTTGTCTAGTCCTGAAGGGTCTATAGTTAATTATTGTGCGGGAGGCTTAAAACTTAAAATAATAATTTTACAATCGGTTACATTTTGATCTCATGGGTTTCATTACTTTTGCTTGTGTTAAAGTATCACCTTGTGGAGAAAACACCGAAAAGAAAATACTTTTATTCAGTGGTGTCATTCATAGAAACCATCAGTTTTAAGTTATATAGAATTTGGATTTGTGCATTCCCCTAATCTAGTTAACTTTTCAAGTTTTATAGTGTTTACTGATCTTACAATAGGCGCAGTGCTCTTTATGTTGTTCTCATTTACATATATATTGAAAGCTAGACAGCTTTTGTTTGCTCAATTGTTCATTGCAAAACAAGAATCTTTAAAAGCTCCCCCCCCCCCCCTCCTGCCTTTTCCTCACATTCTCTTCTTCAACTGGAAGAATCACCTGGTATAATAGTTTGCCTATTCCATAGCTTTTCCTACTGTAAAAATAATGCTTGAAATAAAGTTCAATACACTTTTTTCAGGACCATACAATAGTTTTGCCCCTAACATCTTTAAAAAGCTCTCTCCCATCAACAAACTTTAATTACATGCTCTCAAAATTAGGTGATATCTATTGTTTATTCTTACTGCAATCGACAGGCTTTGTTCAGTTTTGTGTCTTTCATTTTTATTTCCTTTTTAAAAATAATTATATTATTTTATATTCTGGGTTTTCATAATAATAATAATAATAATAATAATAATAATAACATGTTTTACATAGTAAATTTCTTCTGTTTGTATTTGATATATTTGCTTTAATAGAGCGCTAGCAGGGAGTTTGATATTTGTTGGATTCAGTGACAAAGTATTTTATATAGAAAAGGTGAAACAACTGATCAATAATTTGTTTTATATTCTATGTGCTGTAAATAAAAAAATAAAAAAATCAAAGTTTGAATAGAATCATTGGTTTACATCACATTTGTGACCAAAATGTTTTAACGAAGTAAAAATTAAAGGTTTTGATAGCGATTTGATGGGAAATAAGTGATAGCTCAACTGATGGAGATTATAAACAGTTTTGTTACTATAACTATAAGTCTTGCATTTATCATAGTCTCAGCTGAATGTTTGAAACTTAATTATTTCCCTGGTACTAGTAGGGCCTACTATTTTCCCCAACTTTTGGGCAAGCCTTTTAGCCTCTTTTTATTTTCATATTTAATCCTAGGATATTTTAGATTTTCTGGGGCCGTATTACTGACACACCTTGTGTATACACTAAATCTTTCCTTGTATAACCTTATAAACATTTGTCAGTCTGTACTACTAATACATAAAATTATGTTTATAATTTTTATATAATTAAATGAATACTGTATACATAATTTATGCTTGTAAAGGGCAACTTATCTGAACAGGTCTGTTATAGCCTGTCATGCAGGCAGGCTTGTAGAATTCCTTTTTCAGCTTTCAGTCATAATGTTCCGTATGTTTGTACTTCTTTCCACGTGCAGGTCTATTTTTTTTTTCTGCTAGAATTTTCCATGAATAGCCTGGCGTTGCTTAATTTGTTGCTCCATCGATATGTTTTTCTCAATCATGAAAGTTGTTTCTGTCATTCTGTAATATGTCACCCTTCCTGTATGCTTCTCTTACCTCAACTTATAGGATTAAAAATTTTTTTTCTAGTTTTATTCACATGAGTGTGCCAACACTGTAGACTAGGCCAGTAGGCTTTTCAAGGCATAGTACCTCACTTCTTATTAATGTGTACTTTTAATTTAGACCTGTTTCTTTAAAAAAAAATTATATACTGGTATCTTCTTGTTGGCTTTTATCATGTCAGTCATTTAATGCTCATGCAAGTCCTCTTTCTTATCCCAATCTTCACAATAGAATTAGAATACATGTACAAGTATACATAGTATGTGTGCTTGTGTGTGTATGTGTGTGTGTGTGTGTGTGTGTGTGTGTGTGTGTGTGTGTGTGTGTGTGTGTGTGTGTGTGTGTGTTGTGTGTGGGTGTGTCTGGGTTAAAATATTTTTTCCAATCTCCTCAATAATAAAATTTGTCTCTTCTCACACATCATATTTTGGTTAAAATCCATATTTCATTTAGTTGTTTCTTTGTTTTATTCAGTTGTTTTCACCATTGTGTCACTCTCATTCTGTGTTGTATATATATGTTTTCTTTTTTATTGTTATATTCTCATTTGGTATAGGCCTACATTAAAAAAAGAATTGTATTAATGTATTGCACTCTCATATCCTACCTATTCTTTTTTAGTGTTGTTATTATTTCATTCAGTATTTTATTCTTTCTTTATTGTGTTAATCCCATTCTGAAAAAAAAATTCTTTTTCTATTGTCTCCCTCTCATTGACTGCTCTTTTACGTTTTTCTACCCCCCTCCCCCCTTCTCTCTCTCTCCCTCTCTCTCTCTCTCTCTCTCTCTCTCTCTCTCTCTCTCTCTCTCTCTCTCTCTCTCTCTCTCTCTCACCCACTCACTCAATATCTCTCACCCACTCACTCAATATCTCCCTCCCTCCCTCCCTCCCTTAGATACTGCATGTTTTTTTCAATTGTCTCCCTCTGATACTGAGGTTCTTCTTTACGTTTTTTCTTTTTCATACTGTATTTTTCTTCCCTGTTGTCTTCTTTGTACTGTATTTCCCCCCATATCTCTCTCTTTCTCTCTCTCTCATTCTCTATCACCTATGTCTTCCCCCACAGCCCATGTACGATGATGCTGATGACGAGGACTCAGACTCAGATGAGGACTATGAGTCGTAGGAGTTACTTCCCCTGTGCCTTTGAAACAGAAAGTTTTAGTTCTTGGATGTCTTCGGATCTTCCATTGACGCTGTACTAGATGATATGTTTGTCAGAATGCCGAAAGAAAACTTTCAAGTTTACCCTTGAAAGTGGTAAAAAGCTGGGTTTCATAAGAAAATGATTATTGTTTTTCAACTCAAATGTTTGTGATAATTTTTAAAATTCCACTTTTATTGATTATTCTGTGGTAATCTTGTCTGTGATATGAAGACGTCAGTTTTTTTACCTTCCCTGAAACTTTAAAAGCTTTATTTCCACCTCTACCTGTGTGATACTGTGTCAAATTTGGTATAAAAACGTAAATTATAGCCACCGATTTTAAATCTCTTAACCTGATGCGCAGCATTTGGGGACCACCATTTGACTGCCGCTTGCAGGAACATGAAACGTCATGCTTTGATCATGGTGTGTTGTACCGGTACTTTACTTTTTTAAAGAATTACCTTAAAAGCCTGTATATTTCTTGAAAAGTGTCTATTTAAGTTGATCGTTTGTCAATGCACTGTTTTCTCTTTTTTTATTTTTTCACTGTCTGTCAGTGTTGTTTGATAAATTAAATAATATTCCTACAAGTACAAGTTAATATATGAAATGAATTGACAATTAACATGTTTTCTTCGCTGAAGAGATATTGACATTTTCTGAAGTTAGTCTTCTACACATGTGAGCTTTGATGCCTATCCTATTTTCTTCCGTGAGATTTCTATGAGATTGGAAAGATGACACTGAGGTGAGGAGATAACAAAACAGTACCAATATGTGTCACGATGTGGTCGAATCAGGCGCTCGTCAATTTTTGGGCATGTGGAGTTATTGGTATCATCTTAAACCTTGTTCATTATCTTGCTTTCGATGAAAAAAACAACCCATCTATCTTGAGCTGAAGTCGAGATATTTGCATTGAAAAAGATGGAGGTCGCCTGGTTTCAGAGATGAAATTAGTGAGAAAATGGCCGCCAAAGTTTGGTGATTTCCAAAGCTTGAGAGTACTTGGAAACTGACAATTTACCATTTCTGTGCATTTAATCAACGTTTCACAGTAAAATCCACAAAGAAACGTATTTTTTAAATGACATAAAAGGTGGTAAGCCAAAAAACCAAAATTTCCAAACCGCCAGAAAAACGCAGATTTCTTTGATTTCATTGTTTTGACGAGTGTCTGATTTCACCACAACGCATCACATATGTGCTTTAATTAAAGGTGTCACAAAGCTCTTGTTTAGGTAATTTGGCAATGAGAAGGATACATTTTTTTTTCCTTATTCACGTGTCAATGTATAAGTGTGTCAGTTACTTGAAAAGGCAGTGTAATTTACTCCGTCAAATTTACCCAGTTCTCACCCATCTATCTGCTGTATGTGTCACTGCTGATAACATTATTTTTCTTTTGTCTTTGAATCCAATTTGTGGAGAATAAAGTCATGCAGATGTTCAGCATAAATCACACTGTGAGTGATATGAAGATACTCTCAGTTGATTTTAGCTATCTCTTTATTATTTTATTTTTCAACATTTTTGTACGCATTGTATTGTGCCAGTGAAATTTCTATATGCATACGTATGATATAGACAGATGACACTGCTAGCGCTACAGTAATTTAAGAAACTGAATCAAAGTATGTCTGAATTTGTTTTCAATGCTATACTATTACTATTGTGTCATGGTGGCTTTGAAAATAATTGTGAGATACTTTGATGCATATATATATATATATATTGATTACTTTGGTAAGCTTTGATATGCATTGCAATATTGAAAGAATTATTGTATATAAACTTTCTAATTGGATTAAATAATGAGTTATAGAAAAGACAAAAATGCCATTCTTAGGCTAATCATCAATTTTGATCATTTGTTTTCTCATGGTTGCATGCTCTTTGAGGCAGTGTGACTTCCAGTTTGTATTTCATTTGACAGGCAATCGTTAAAATAGACCTATTTTAAGGTCTCGTAATTGCTGTTTATAGTGTTCAGTATCGTGTAAAGAAGTTGTTTTTAAAAAGTTAATTTCTAAATCTTACACTTTCATTGTCCCATCTAGATTTTCTTCACCTATTTCTTTACACTCAGTGGTCATTTTTTTTTTTTTTAAATCTCAGTACAGATTGTGTACATGACAAAATGGGGTGCCATACATACAGTGAAAGATGTTTTAGTTTTATCTCATTCCAGTTATTCATTTAGAATAACTTCATAGGGACCCTGTCAATTCGTATGCTGATTCTGCCAGTATTTTGGGTTTTTTGTGCCTATAATTCGCCTATCTATTAGGGGCTCCACATAGATGGTTATACTGTAATATGATTGTCGGTTCTTTTGTGCAAAGCACTCTTCATCAGTGGGAAATGCAACATCTGTTATGTTGTGGGTTTTTGGTTGTTGTTTTTTGTTGTTGTTTTTCTGGGTTTTCTTTTCAGACTGGCGATTAACATTACAATTAGATGAGTACAAGATCATATACCTTTTTATAGATGAAGTTATTTTAGAGATAAATAGCTATTTTAACTCAATGGACTGAAGGGCATGTCTGAGCTGAGTGTGGCTATGTTTCCCCTTCTGTGCACCGAACACACACGCCAGTGTATACAGGGGAGTATATCTAGCAGTGGGTGTGCAGGAGCTCAGTTACACAGGGTCTGTTTGCTCAGGGGAAAGGAGTAGGGGCTCAAAAGGTTATGGTTAGAGGCGTATCGGACAGCCCAGGTCGGGGTAAGCTAAGATCCTCACATGGAAGAAAATAAGGATAATGATAATTGGAATTTGATGCTAATTCCTGTTCAACAGCTAGGTCTATGTGCTTTACAATTTATATTATATTTTATACACTAGCACCACATGATAAATAGTGTTGAAGTAAGAGTACCGTTCACCTACTGCTTGTTAATGAGTACACCCCCACCTCATCCTCTCCTTCCTTAGGGAACTGAACTTGTGAAATGGTTGTGAGGTTTTCATTTTTTTGTTTTTTAATTTCAAGAATAATAGAAATTAATGTTTTAGATACATGTATTGTAAATGTAAACATACAACATTATGAGTACTTTATACTAAGAGGGGCTTGGAAATGATGCACTGCACACAATTTTGTTTTATATTTCATCAGTTTGATTTTAACATTTAATTTAACTAATACTCAGTTGACAGTGTCTATGAATGAATTAAAAGCACTTCTGTGATTTTTTTATATATTTTCGATCTTGTATTTCATTTGATTTTTTATTATTATAGGTTCTGCTAGTCTTTTATTTTAATTCCTTGGATTTTGTAATGTAGAATTGTCTCTCCATTTTTTAACAACCTTCTGTTAATAATTTCTCGCAGAATAGTCTTAAATGTTAAATGATAGATGTTCTGAACTGAGGAACAAATTTTGCCAGTAGCTGTTTGTAAATTTGTCATATATATTCGCCTTTTTTAAAAAAATCTCTAGTCGTTCCCCTCCACACCAATTCTCATTTCATTTCGGAAAGTGTTAGCTTCTGTCAAATTCAATTTCAAGGCCTTGTCAGGTGCAGAAGTAGTTTATTGTTATGGTCGCATGCTGCTCTAAGCTTTCCAAACAAGACAGTGGTATGTGGCTTTGCAGCCTGTGTCAATTCTCATCCCAGTAATGTAGTGTTTGCTTCATTGTAGATCTTTGCATTGTTCTTTCCTCACTCTGCAAAAGAAATTTATCGCTCAACACTTACAACAATGATAGTAACAGTAAACAATGTGAAAGTTGTAAGGGCCAAGTCAAACGTCATAATAAAACAGGTTTTTTATAAAGTTTTATTCTGCATATATTATACAACTATCCTTTGATGAGTTTTTAAAATAAATTTATGTTTGTTCCCTTTATGGAGCTTGTCACTTATGAAGAAAGTAGGTCAGTACTTCGACAAAATTTGTTTTGTTCACCATTCTTGACTGCTCGAATGCTCTCCAAAAACCTATTGGTCTATTATCCTGGTAACTTCGTGTTGCCCATTTGAACAGGTTTTCCCAGTAAATTGCTCTGGGTCTGTCAATGCCTCACTTGCCTTCTGTTTTCCGATGAGAGTGGAATGCTCAAGGCCGTGGGTGGTGATTCAAATTGAATCTGTTAAACCTGTTTGATCTTTTCACCTTTTTTTATGAGATTACCAACAGGATTACTGGTTTTTAGATACATTGTATGTATTACGGTACCATGCATTTCGTTTTCTACATTATATCAAGAAATGGCTGCTTACATTTATTTTCCTTCACAATAGTATCTTAAATCGAATGAAGGTTATTTTGTAGGTCTGAAATTAAAACTGTTTCATCAACATATTAAGTTTTATAAATTTTTTTCCCTATCTGATACTTGTTTTAGCTTTTCTAAAAGTTTTACAGCACTTGCAACACAGTGAGGTCATAATATATGTGCCCAAGATATGAGGTGTGACAAAAGAGTAACAAACATAAGAAAAGAAGGAGGAGAGATAAGGACGATAGATACCTTGTATTTGATAGGAGAGAATAATCAAACCACACCAGAGCATCCACCTTCCACTTTGAGACTAGGACTTTCTTCTATAGATCTGTTTCTAAGGATTGTTTCACTGTCTGTTAAAGAAGTCTGGTGAAATAACGCGTCCTTGCTTCACTACTCTCTTATAATCTGTGTATATTTTCTGTGAAGAACCCTGCATGGCAGCCTATACCAAATACCAGATTGAATGAAGTGAAGAGAGGGATATTCACTGCACTCTCCCTCAGTTCTTGCAACAGCATTTTGTTCCGCGAACAAATTTCTAATTGAACTAATATAAGATCCGTTTCATCTGTGTCTAGCTGTTCCAAAATTTTGAATAGCTCAGTTGAACATAATGTCTAACTTCTAACTGTGAACCATTATTTAAAATCATCTAAAATAACATTATTGTCATATTTGCATAATCTCTGAAGATAACTGAAGATAAATCAGAGAACATTGTTGTGCCAATAAACATAAATAGCTGATGCCTCTAAATAAATAATTAATAATGAATCAGTGGCTCGTTTCGTGTGTGATTTTTATTGGGGGGGGGGGGGGGGGATTGGCAGTCAAATACTTTTTGCAGTACAACTCACTGATGTGAAAATTAAACGTTTTTGTCCTCTAACAGATTTTTGTTGCCCTGACGCCAAAGATGCTTTACTTGAACTTGATTTTTCAATGTAGGCCTACATGAAGTACTTTTCACAATTGAAGGTCTTTTGAATAATGTATATATGCTTAAATTGCATGTTTGAAATTTTCCTTTCATTTACTGAAAAGAAAGTTTGTGATTGTAGGCCTATGGAATTTACCAAGCTCATATTATTATTCTGTGATATGTAGAGATTTTAAGTTATTTTAGATGAGACCTTATTTCTCAGTCAACTTATTTATACATGACGTTTAACTTTTATAATAGTTGTTGATTTATATATAATATTAATCATTAACATAATTAAAATACTAGTAAATATATAAATTTCTATTGCAAATAAAGTGTATTTGTTCTTTCTTCTTCGCTGTGCTGTCAACCTGACATGTATTTTGGGTTCTTTGATTAAATTCTGAGTTTTTATAATGAGGTGCTGGATGAAACTATACCATAATATTTTCAGCACATGATGCGAGGAAATCGTTTATTCGCTTGTTTTTTTTTAGTAAGTGTTTTACTGCGCTAGCAATTACTGCATAAGGTCATTTGAGTGCACGGGACACATTAAACATTTTCAATTCGTAGGAAATCTATCAAACATCTATGGTCCTTATCGCCCCTTCTTGTTTTTTATGTTTGTTACTCTCTTGTAACACCTCTAATCTTCTGGAGCTTGTATGACCTTATGCAGTTGCGAGTGTGGTAAAACATCTACTAAAACTAAAATAGATCTTTCCTACCATAAGACCAGAGGTGTGGCTGAAAGACAGCAGTAAAAAGAAGCCAAGGAGTAGCATTAGAAAGGCTGCAGAAAGAGTCGGATCAAGAGCCCAGAGGAGGGGGCAAAGGAGGTGAGGAGGTGGGGGTAGAAAGTGGTGGTTGAGACGAAAGCTGACGATAGAACTTTGCTACAGAGCAGGAATTAAGGAGGTGAAAGGAGACCATTATAGAGAAGAAAACTTTCCGTCGCTATCCGGATTCCAACCCGGGACCTATTGAATGAGAGGCGAACACCTTAGCTTCTAGGACACGAGAGCCCCCCGAGGAACACGCGTACTTAGCCTTTGCAACATAGAGTTTGAGACAAAGCGAAATCAGTGAGAGTGGGATGTGGAAATCTTTCCATTATAAACTATTTGGGATCTGGAAATCTCTTTGCGATGTGTATGTTTCGCTATATACTTGAAATATTATGTGACGTCGGTAGTTTTATGGTTAGGCTAACGGACTCATAATCGTGAGATTACCGGACGTTGTGTCCTTGCCAAAGGCACTTTACACGAATTCCCCCCCCCCCCACTTTACCCAGGTGGGAATGGGTACCTGGCCATCAGATATAAACCTTGTTAGTCGTCAGCATAATAATAATAAAAAGTGGTCCAGCGCCTATAAAATGGCAGCTTGCACTGTATGCTTCTCAGGAAGTTTATATTGTTTCAGTATGCCAACAGGTCTGCAGGGGTAATATTATTTCCTAAGATTGTAAAGCGCATAGAGTTTGCTGTTGGGCCCCCTCACCTCCTTCGCCCCCCTCCTCTGGGCTCCTGACTCTTTGTGCAGCCTTTCTACTGCTACTCACTGGCCCTTTCTTACTGCTGTCTTTCAGTCACACCCCTGATCTTCTGGTACGAAAGATCTACACCTAGTCTTCTAGGCTCGGACAAGGGCGAAAAATCTCGGAGGTCTCGTGTGCAAGTTGCGCACGTTAAAGATCTCTTGGTGGTCTAAATTTGATAAGAGTAGGCTTCAGCCACCACCCTGGCAAAATTCAAAATTTCCTACCTACTGAAAAATGTTTAATGATTAATGTGTCCCGCGCGCTCATATGACCTTATGCAGTTGCGAGCGCCGTAAAACACTTAGGCTACCCCCCCTCCCCCCCCGAAAAACCCCCAACAACAAACAAACAAAAACACCCAACCTAATCATTATCGGGGACGCAAGGGAAAGGGGGGGGGGAGGCATCGGGTTCTTGTGAAGACAGTTACATAGTAGCCTACATGTACGCAGTCAAAAGTATTCAGAAAGCAACGTTGGTCTCAAATTCCATTTTTTGTTTTTATTCCGTCACTAGTACAACAAAATAAAAGTTGACACACATAGCTTATAAAATACAGTTTGTAAATCATTACGAAAGTATACCCGACTAGATCTATAGGTATTTGTGATAATATTATTAAATGGCATGTTGTGAACGATGTCTAGTTCTATAAGAAGTCAGTGTACTACCGTACACGACAAAATTATCAAGAAACAGACTTCAAACATAGCCTAAAAAAGGAGGGGGTTGTAACAGGGAGCCAATATACCATGGCAAAAGGCCAAGCAAGGTCTAAGAATAGATGAAGCCCTCAAAGTACGGGACATAGGCCTAATACATGTACTATGTATCAAGTCCGATGAAAACGTCTATGTCTGTGGGCTGATGGTTTAAGCAAGAAGTTGACCCGTGAACTGACGAGCAGGCTGTATATTATTAGTATTTATTATACTTATCAGATTTATACAAGCAATGGTGGCTAGTCAAAGGTTGCTATTGAATAGTAAACTGACGAGTGGGCTGTATATTATTATACTGATCAGATTTATACAAACACGGTCGCCGGCGAAAAATTGCTTCTAAAATAAACTACATTAGTTCATGACTATCAAAAGTTAGAAACCTCGGAATTGAATGGTCATATCGGTAGTGCCAAGCCAAACAAATCTAAATACAGCCAATATGAGGGTTCAGACCAAGGTGACCCACACCGTAATCAAGCATTGTGCCGACTGAGCTTTTCAGAGCCTGCATCAGTTTAAATAAATTCTAAAAAGTGAAAAGTATGCCGTTGTTAGGGAGGACGAGACAAAATGATACACGAAGATATCTCAAGGGGACTGCACTCGCGTCGGTACACCCACTGGGATGTAATGTCAAGCCCTACGTAATAATAAACTGTCAAATGTCAACATACCAAGAGATTAAATGGAAAGTAAGCTTCTGCACCACAAATTCCATGGAAATGCATTATAATATGGGACTTTTGAAAAAAAAAAAAAAAAACAACCCAGAGGCTAAGATCCCAGAATGAGAGAGTCTGTCGTCATGTCGTCCAAGGAGATAAGTTTTTCTTGAAAGTTTTGTAGAGATGATGGATTACTGTCTCTTGGGGACATAGTAAAATTATGATAATACATTTTAAACCAAAATACTGCTCCAAAAGCCACCTGGCCAAGACAATCACCTGTACAAACAACCACTTCCCTTTTCCCCACTTGCGTTAAAAAAAAAATATAATGGCTATGTTCAAGATGTCTGCCTGTCTAAGACAATCCCTTTTCTTTTCGACAATAGCTGCCGTCTTAGTCAATTTCGACTGTTTTGACTCCCCATCGACACAATTTAGATAATTTAAGAGGTAAGTTACCTCGACATTTCCTATCAGTGAAAGGGATACACCATCGCAATAGACAGAGGCACTTAAAAAAGGCCTACCCATTCAGGAATAGAACTTTCCGCACCCGCTTGCAGCAGCAAGGTGCCTTACACCACTGATGCAGTGCTACTGTCCTCGTTACAAAAGTTATAGACATTGATAGTTTGAAGTGGGTGAATTTCTGTTAAGGCCGTGGTGCTGTGCCCCCTGAATGTGATGTGAGTCCAGCATTGACTCAGATACGTCTGCCATCGTGTCGATCGCCGCGTGGGACGAGACACAATGGAGACCCGAGGTCTCAAGTGACAGTTCTATATCCACAAGGTCCGGAGGGGTTTTCACAGACGACAACTTTTCAAATGAAGCAGACCCAGGAATGTTTGGAAGTTCAGAAAGATGAAAGGAGCTGTAGGCATCCCCCTTGTTATCGTTACTCTCAAATGCACATCTAGACGGAGAGACGAAGTACTGCCTTGTATCATTCACGCGATTGGAGCAAAAACTGCTTCTGGTAAAATGTGAAGTTGGGATTGGTCGTGGCCCGGAAAAGCGTATTGTTTTCTCCAGGATACCACCGGGTTTTCTTTCTACATTTGCCACAGTTAACGGGGCCACTTTCCGAGAGTGAGTTTTCCCCGCGTCATGTCTGCCTGCTTGTACCGACTGATGGTCCTCTTGTGACACAGTCCATTCTTGAGTCATCGTCTTCTTCCTCCATCGTGACTCGTTCATGTTCTCCCCGGTCATCGCTGATTTATTCCGTCTTCGTGACCTCACGCTCGTGTGTAACAATGGTGGCCCAGCAGCCTTCCTTTTTTTCTTCGCCTGTCTCAGTCTGGACTGTGTGGGGGTCTCAGAGCTCCTCAGTGCCGAGATCAACAGCTTCATATTCTCCTCGGCGTGGGCAGGGTAGGGAGACACACTCGTTGGAGAAGCCATCTCGTTGTGTCCGTCTTTGTTGTTCCGGACTTCCGGCGGTCTCTTCGGATATTCAGTTTGCTTGTCGATATCATCTTTCAACTGTTTTTGTTGGAGGTGGTCTGAGATTTGTCGACCAGCTGTAAGGCGTTCTCGTTCCAACACGCATGGATCTTCACTAACTCTTTGAGCCAGTCTGCCAGCTATTCTACAACGTTTACGTGAGGTCTGAGTTGATTGCTTGTGCTTGTCAAATTTGGCCAAGACTGGAGTTGGCATTGTGTCAGGGGCAGGGATTTTCTTAATCGTTTCTCTGAATTTCGCTACGGGTATTGTTTTATTTGCACGGAAATTTCGGATTCTGGGATGTGATTTGTTCTCTTTTGCCTCCTTGTTTTTCTGTACTTCATGCAATAGATTTGAGTCTTTAGATCGTGTGTGCTTCTCAGAACTGGTCTCATGCAGATTCATATTTTCTTTGCTTTTCTCTCCAGCAGACCTCATAGACTGAATAATTGGCGATTTCGCAGATTCTGATTTCGATACGTCTAACAGCAAAGCTGACATGTCGCCTTCACCTTCGATATTGATCGATTTGTCACTTGAGGCCGGTAAGGCTTTCAACTTTTGTTTTTCCACATTTACGGCGTTTTTGGCTTCACTTTTATTCAAATTTTCGTTTTGAACGTAGAAAACGAGCGGAGTTGGTGGAGGATGATAACGGGAGCCTTTAGAGGCAGAAGTGAGCATGGAGGTCATGTTGTAGTCCTGGTTTCCCTTCCTGCATGAACCCATATGGGGTGGACTGGTGCAGAAGATTTGATGTTGGTTGAACAATCCTAAAGTGTGGAGGGGGATTCCCAACAGGGGGCACATGTCCAGACATTTGTCCTTACCACGGATCGTGCTATTTGTTGTTGACGGTTGTCCCAAACTGAGGCCAGCCTGGACTGATGTGTCCACTTGCTCCTTTGTCATGAGAGCTTTAGAAGATGCATAATTTATCGGCACGGGGATTCTAGAAGCCCGCTTATGTCTGTCCGGCGCGGAGTCTAGGGTCACGTCTGTTGTGACTTTTTGAGAAACCTGCTGGTCCATGTAATCTGTATGTGCGCTCTGTGGTTGCTGGTCATTAAAAGTACCTCTGAGTAACGTGTTGACCTCCACGCTTTTTGATATTGTCCTTACAGGCACAGGGATTTTGGAAGGTATCTGGAACGGTTTTATTGGATTGGATCTTGATTTTGACTTTCGGCATTGCTGACGTTTCTTACTCTGTGACAGCTGGTCGTGCTTGGAGGCAATGCTTGTCGATAGTGGATATTTCAAATTGACAGGTTTTTGACTGAAATGCGTCTGGAAACTTGAGCATGATTCTTGGTCTAACATATGTTTGACCACCGTATTTTGATCTAGTCGCTTCTCGTGCGCTGTCGGTACACCTCGTGCTTTCCTTCCCTTGGTTGGGGTTGTAAATCCCTTAGATACCTGGATGCTCTCTATCGAAGTTTTCTTTTTTAGACTTGAGCGAGAAATTTGTTCAGTTTTCTTTCTTACTGGAATTAAAGACGCGGCTCCGCGTCTTGGCTTTGGTTTCGGTTTGATAGTGGAAGCCTTCCTTGTAAAGTCTTGGAGAATTGTTTGGGGCCTGAAGAAGTCGCTCGAACGATTGCTGAGGGAAATATCCCTCGGGGTTTTATATTTCGATTTTCTTTTTATATTGGTTTTTATATTATTATGTGTCTCTCGTTTTTTCTGAACAAGGCAGTTCTCTGCCGTACTAAGCGTATGCAGTAATGGGAAATCCCCAGAGGGAAGGCTTTGAAATCTGCTCACGTCATACTTTGATAATTTTGCGGGATCATCGACCTGCTGGTCTTCTGCCTGCTCGTAATATTTACCTTTCTTTTTACTTTCTGCGTGCTGGGTAACCTCCTGGAGGTCAACAGTAATAATGCTAAGTTCTGGAGAGGAGCCCCGCTTTGGAGAATTCCCAAAGTCTAAGATATAAAGCGAGTTGGAAGTATTCTTATGAGAGTTTTGTTGAGTTTTGGTTACTAGAGTGTCTGCCTTCTCTCTTTCACTGAAATGTAATTTCGTCTTGTTTAGTATCTCCAAATTCTCACTTTCAGATTCAAGTATTTTGCTGTTCTTGTTTGACTGTGGAGATTCCGATTCAAGGTCATCATGGCAGCTGTTGCTGGACCTCGCGTGAAGACAGCCTGTGTGTTGCTGGGGTCTTGCAGGCGACATCTGGTTATGACTCATACGAATCACTCTCTCCAGTTGTGTGACCATGTGCATGTCCGTGGGCGGGATAAATTCCTCCAGACGACATGACACCTGCTGGTCTACGGCGTGGTACATTCTCTCTGTAGCTTGACCATTATTCTTCAACATCCATTCTTTCGCTTCCGCCTCAACAACAGCAATGCCATCGCCTTCCGCATCTGGAAGATTGGGGAGTGGTGTCTGGGCCTGACATGTTTGAGCCAGTGGTGTATAGCGGGCACCTTGAGCTAAAGGCAATGGCAAATAATCACCTGTGGGATTTCTGATTGCACACCCTAGTACGTTCTTATCTACACGTTTTGGCTTTTTTATATAAGTGGTCAGGCTTCTAGCGATGCTGCGGGACAGCTGTCGTCTCGCGGCATGCTTTCTTTTCCAAGCTGAGCGTCTCTTACCTCCAAGGCGTGTTCGTTGATATTCGGGGGGCGATGCAGACGTCACAGATAGTGTGCTAGACGGGAGATCTTTCGGGGCCTTCAGATTTATCCGAGTTCCAATACCATTTGATGATGAGGAGGCAGGGATGGTAGAATCACGCGATGCACTCCCCAAAAAGGACGGGACAGAGGATGGCAAGGATGTTGTTGTGCCCGTTACAGCCCAGTCTTCACCCTTTCCTTTGTCCTGAGTACCCCTCAGTCGTCCACTTTTCTGTCTATTGTTGTGCAAAGAAAGTCGAGACAGCTTAAATCCGTTGACACCTTTTCGTTTGGGGATAATCTTCATGTAGGAAACTTGTTCACTGTCCAGCTGAATGGAGGGCTGTGAGTCGTGGAATGTCCACGTCCTACAACTGTGTTTGCCAGGTGTCTCATCCTCAAGGTAGTCATCTTCCGCCACCCTTTGTCTTTCAGACGACAGAGGACACCAGTCAAGACTGAGATCCGATATATTATTACCCACAGCCCCCTGCTCTCCGAAATAACCGTCACCTTCTATTTCATCTAGAAAACTATAAGACAGTAACGGTCGCGTGCTCCATTGACTGTCTGATACAGAGACGTCGACTCTGCTCGACTCAAATGTATCCAGCTCAGAATCGCTCGCATGCTGAGTGTTGGATATTTCATCAGACGCCGACTGAACCACAACAGCCATGGCAGTTTTCCCCAATTCACCATTCACATTTAGCGCGGTTTCGCCACTTGGATAATATGACAGACACCGACTTGGAATACAAGAGATACCATTTCTCTCGTTCATTAGACTTTGGGAGGTGTCCGAGCAGACAGGGTCAGTACTGGAGACTTGCAGGGTATAGAGCAGGTGTCCGTCAAAGAGTAAGCCATGGGGGGTCTTCGGGGCTTTGCGATCTCCTGGCGCTTCCAGGGGGATTAGTTTACCTAGGACAGATCTAGAACGGCTGTAAGTGTTAGCGGCGTTGTCATACACACGTTGGGACCTTGTGAAACAGTGTCGAGCTAACACGTTTTGATTTGAACATAACGTTTTGGAGTGCAAATCCACTTGATGCTGTGCGGTATTGGGGATCGAAACAGTGGAGGACATTGTCATCTCACTCTGAATCTTAACTACATACAACCCGTGCTGGTATCCTGAAACATCCCTGGAGCTCTTTCGCTGATTTCTTTCCACGTGCTTGGGAACCAAAGGTTTCTTTCCAGTTCTTAGACAAACAAGCTTCCTGTGTGAAGTAACTGAGCTCTCAGATCCCAAAGTCTGTTCAAGAGCAAGTGGCGTTTTATCTTTTAAGCCGTTGATGTACTTGCATAGATTCAACCTGGAATAAACAGGAATTTGTGTTCGATCGAGAGAAGTGGATTTGATATCTGATGATGACTCACAGAGGGGAACGGTAGGGAAGGTAGGGCGAGGAATTCCAGAAACGCGTTTCCTTTTCAGCGTGCAGCCTTTGAGCGTTTGGTTTTGACCAGTTGACGGCTTGGTCGTATTGCAACTAGACTGGTCTTGTGATCTCAGCCTGTATCTTTGCAAGGTTTTATCCAGTGAGTATTTTGAGAGACGTTTCGGTCTGCAAAACCTTTTCCTGGCTTTATCCTTAGGGAAACACTTTCCTTCCACTGGGTTCTTGACAAACAATTTTTCTCCACCAGAGGGGGAGCTCTCGCGCGCTGAGGCGCTCACATTCGGAAGACTCAGTGTGTTGTTGTTTGCCTTTGGTTTATTAGTGGGAACTTCCCTGCGCGCTTTTTCTTTCCACAATTTTCCCCGACATGTAGCTCTAAGTCCTTTAGGATTTTTCAATAGTTTTGTTGGTATAACTCCTTCGTCGAAAGGGTGTTGAAATTCATGGTTACTGGGTACGCTATTTTCTATGTATGTTTCGTTTTCAACGCTGCAATGTTTCGAATCACGCAACGTCGGGCAAAGCTGGCGGTTATGAACAAATCCAATTTGTTCAAGTGTACTATATCTATCTAAACCACTTCTAAAACAGGCACTCTTGCGTGGTTCAATCTCTACAATGGTGGTTGAATGAGATCGGAAAGCAGCTGGACTGGGCTTTACTGTCATTAATTTGGCGAGTCTGGCAACTTGAAATCCGTTACTGCCGGTGTACTCGCTTGTATCACCCGCTAAGTTAGCCATTAACTCACAGCGTGTTGACGTGCCATGACCACGATCTCGCTTTTCTTTCTTTTTATCGACATTGGGATTCTGCACAAATATGAGGTCTGTGTGTTGGGGAACCTGTGTATTCGTATCCTGCCATCTTTTCTGGTGATTGTCCCCCTCAGGCATTCGTCCAGGGGCCGAAATAGGCACACGGTTGTGAAGGAGCCCTGTTTCGGCAGGACATGTTGCGAGGAGACATTTGGTTGAATTTTGAACGGAGTATTTGGTGTTGTATTTAAACTTTAAACCCTTTGACCCCACGTCAGACTGCGAAGAGTCCATGTGTCGTGTGATCAGTTTACTGGTGTCTTCAATGCCAAATGGAACTTTTCCGCGTTTTGATACACACGGGAGGACCCTAAACTTGTCAGGACAAATCGTGGTCAACAGACATTTGAGATCGTCGTTGGATTTTTTCAATAGAGCTTGGTTGGAGTTTGAGATTGCTTTTTCTTCTGAAAATTTTAATCTCTTTCTATGGGTCTTTGGGAAACATAATCGTGTCTGTGGGTTGAGATGACATCCTCTATCCTCTACGTTTGCCTCTTTGTTTTGAACATGGAACTGAACGTTATTGAAATCTGGAGACAAATTTGAGCGAACATATTTGAGGTCATTTTTTCTCTTTCTAGGGGTCTTGGGAAAAGATATTTTGGCAGCTCCAGGAGAATACGTGATCTGTTCGGGAATGCCATCAGAGTTATTTTGTCTTGAGTTGTCTATCGGTGAAATCAAAACTTTAGCTTCTCCCACCTCCACAATGTCATAGCCACCAGGGACAGGATTTTTTCGCATCGGCGAGTACAGATTTGAATCAAACTTACATCTTTCCCAGATTTCTGTTTGCCGATGCTCTGTGGTATTTGGGTGGTAGTGGTTTTCGTCTCTGATTGTGGATCTTATCAGACTGTTAAGCTCGCCAGAACACGCCTCCAGGTTTACCTCGTTACTGCGAGCACGGTGCCGTTTAGAGCGGCTTGACCAGTGTGTTTGATCACGTTGATGTCTCTGCATCTTTCGATGGGAATTTGAATTGGCACCCGTCACCATCGTGTTTGGCCGCACATGACTATCCTCCAGCTCCCGGCCACGGAGGTTTGTATTACCTTTCTCGCTACCGAATGTGCTACATCCCTGCAGAGTAAACGTTCTGACTTTTTTTTGCTCTTTGTCAGTGACAGATCGCGTCATGAACACCACTCGTTGATCTTCAGTTGGCAGCTTAACATTACTGTTCAGTTTGACCAGAGTCTCCTTCGATGGGGGGATCTGCATCAATGACGGCGGTGCAGGCAGGGCGTTCCCGGACTTGCCGTACTTCTTACGTCGGCCAGTGGCCGGTAGCGTAGACAGCGGGATCACGCGCGAGGCGCGGGGTTGGATCACCTGGGAGGAACAGTCCAGACGGTCTTTGACGTCCGGGTAGAAGTCGTAGTGACCTCGAGTCTGAGCCCCGGCGTAGAACTGACGGGGATTGTCGGGGTCAGCCGACCGGGGGGTCATTTTGATTCTGTCAGAGCTTCTTGTCACTTCCGATTTGAGCTGGCGCCGGTAATGTATGTCAGGTGAGGTTGACTTTCGCCCTCCTTTGACAGCATCGGCTGGAGAGTGTACCCGATGCCTTTTCTGCCCGGCATTGGTGTCGTCCAGGTTACCCGTGTTCTTTTGCTCCGCGTACGTGATCAGCGGCGGGAGTAGATCATCAGTTAATGTCCTCAGATCATCTTCAGATTCTGACGTCTGTGCGTCAAATGGCCTGTAATAGGGTTCTTCTTCATCCGCCTGCTTCTTTCTGCGTTTTCTTCCTTTCAGCTTACTGGCAGTGGCAGGCACAGCAGTAACTTTATCATAGCCATTTTTATTGTATTGGGGCCTGTGTTGAAAGTATGGCTGGAACAACTTCTTGGCAAATTCAGTTACTTCCCCTTGTTCATCTTTTACGACCGAGCGATGGCGTTTACTTTTAGGTTTCTCGCTGATAGGAGAGCTGCCAATTTCAGAATCGGTCGACCTCGACTTGAGCTGATTCCATCTCTTCTTACACGTGGTGACGCCTTTTTGCCATCTTCCTATCGTCGGTCCACCGCCATGTTTGTGAAATTTGCCAAGGGCGTCCCTTATTTTACGGTCAGGCAAATCATCCTCACCACAAGAGTCTCCAGAAAGGTCACATTTTACCACATTGTGTAACAGCTTCTCCTTCAGTTTCAATGGTCTTACGCGGTGACGACCTGCCAACAGGTAAACGTCCTTTGATGGAGAACTGGCTGCGGTGACATTACACTGAAAGCTCTCTGGACGGTGCAGTCTCGATTTTCCTCTCTCTCTGACTGACGACGTCTTTATCGGCTCCAGCTCTTCCAGTTGTAAATATCTAGTCCGTTGATGTTTGTCAACCAGCGGCCCTTTCATTACCGTTGACGACTTAGGTGAAACCGATTGTTCTAAAGGTATCTTAGCCTTCCTGAACCAAGTATGTTCGCCGTCAACCTCCTCGGCGTTGGCGGGATTTTCCTCCTGGGAGAAATTGGCGCACAGAGGAAGTGTACACTGGTCTTGTCTGCAGTCGCTGCACTTCCTCTGACCTTGATCTTTGTCAGTCTGACGAGTGGAGGACACGGAGGAACGGGACCGCCTCTTGTTCCTGGACGCAGTGCCACCTCTGGCCAGATCTCCATCCTGCTCGGGGTGTTCAGCTGCAGGAAGTTCGCAAATGTACACACAGAGAAAGAAAGAAAGAAAGTAAGAAGGAAAGAAAAAAAGAAAAAAAAAGACAACACAAGGGAACTAACACTAGGGAAAAAGAAGTAAAAGAGATACAAACAGCAAGTAATCTATATAAAAGGGTTTGCAAATGAGACACGTCTAAAACTTTTTTAAAAATTAGCTAAACCTTCCGCATTATTCAACTTCCTTCAGGTGGAAACCCGGGGTTTCCAACCTTGGTTTTGGTGTGTCCAATAAGCTGCTCTATCATTTAGACATTCATCAACAATGAGGATTTTGATCCAAATACAATTTTTAAAATTCTTAAATTAAGCTTTACTTTTGTTATTCCCATTAAGCAACAGTAACAAGAAAGAAATTAGATATAAATCAGTAGATAAAGAGTTATATTAAAAACACATGAGACAACAAAAACCCACACATCACTTAAGGCAACTGAAACTAACTTCAAACAATATGGATGGATGGGTAGTTGGATGGGTGGATGGATGGAATAGCTCACCTTTTTGTAGACTGAAGAATGGATGGATGGATGGATGGATGGATGGATGAAAAGAATTGTGGATGATTAAAAGAATGGTGGTTGGATGGAGGGATGGATAGATGAATAAATTGGCCCACCTCGTTGCAGATTGGCGTCAATACCCAACGCCAACGATTCTTCGCTGTGGGTGCCACTGACGTCCACGTTGTGTGCACTTATCCTCGGACTCCGGGATTCCACATTAACTGGGGAGCCGGCTTGAGACAAACGACCCATCAGAACCTCTTTATCGCCTGGTTTGAGCTTCATGCACGTGATCTCCATGTGGAAGTTGTCCCTCTGCGGAAGACGAACCCTCAGCTCCTCCGCACACTCCTGGTTGTCTGCGTCCACTGTGCTGCCTGAAAGGACGGGGGGTGAAGTGGCGGCGGTGAAGGATGGGGAATCTATTCGAGAGCTCCCCTGTGACTCAGCAGAACTACATGTACCTTGTGTGTTTCTTGACTTTGGTGAAGAAGACCGTGGGATAACTTTCTCTTTGGTTGGGGTTCGATTTGTGCGTAGAGGGCTCTTTGCGAACGCCGATTTGGTCTTGTTTCGGACTTTCGGTAGGTTAACTGCTTCTTGATCCGTCAGTGTGAAGTAAGGTTTGTTGGATGAGGCGTTTTCCTTATCGTTACGATATTTCCTCTCGCTGTACGGGTACCGACGAAGAAATGAACCCATCCGGTCTCTGTTGAAGTGTTCGCGTCGTCGTTGTGGATCGAGCAAGTTTTGGTAAGGTCTGCTAATCCCTTCACGGTGTGCTCTTATACCCCTTGGACTAAGTGAGTCTATGTTTTTCCGAAAAGAAACAGGAGACACTTCGGGCGTGCAGAATTTTTCAAAATCCATTTTACTTGTTTTATTCTCTAAGCGAACGATACGTCCCAACAAGTCCTTTTGGTCCACTTTTTCAGCACGTGCTGTCGGGTAGAGAGAGGAAGACAAGGAGGAGTACCTACTACCGTGGCCCGTTTTACCCCAAGTCGATGACGTCACCTTGTTTAGTTGGCTGTTTCTCGGAGGGCTGTTAAATTTGTTACTGTATGAAGGGTGTTCGTCTTGGCAAGCTTTTGTGAGGAAGGAGGCTTTTCCTGGTATTTAAAAAAAAACGAAAAAGAAGACAACAACAAAGTTTGAGTTTGGGTCGATAGAGTCACAATAAAGGATATTAGTGAGGCAACGTGGTGGAATCAGGCTCTCGTCAGTTTTTGGGAATATTGAGTTCTTGGTATCATCTTAAAGCTTGTTTATTTGTCTTGCTTTCAATGAAAAAATTAACCTTCCATCTTCAATAGAAGTGAAGATATTTTGGATTGAAGGAGGTGGGGATCACCTGATTTAAGAGGAAACATTAGCGAGAAAATGGCCGCCAAAGCTTGGTAAATTCCGAAGCTGGAGAGTTCATGGAGACTGTAAATTTATATTTTTGAGCCTTTAATCAACGTTTTCGGTGAAATCCTCAAAGGAATGTGTTTGTAAATGGATATAAAAGGTGTTGAGCCAAAAAACAAAAATTTGATAAAAATTGCTAAGCAGGGAGAAAACTGCTATTTTCTTCGATTTCATTATTTTGACGAGAGCCTGATTCTACCTCGCCGCCTCACATTTGGTTCTCATTAAGCAAGACAGACAGAAACAAACGGCAACTACTACTACTACTACTACTACTACTACTACTACTACTACTACTACTACTACTACTACTACTACTACTACTACTAGTAGTAGTAATAACAATAATCAAAATAATAATAATACAGCGCCCAGCCCCGATAAATCACACAGGCTCTGAGCGCTTAACAATACAGTACAATGTACAACAGTAACCAGGGGCGAAGACTGACTTGTTTGACAGGGTAATCAAAGTGAAACGGAACCAGATATTATGGCCTGGAGATATCACACAAGAATCTTACTCGAGGCGGCGACTCTTAAGTTGTGTGAATGAAAACAAATCCGGAATTCAACCACCAAAATAATCGGGAAAGTATCTAACTAAATATCAATTCCAACTAAAATTAAATTTAACGTTAGAAGTGAATACACAAACCCAAAGCAAGGAAGCAGAGATGTCAGCACTAGATCTGTAATATATTATAGAGATACCAGGGAGTCTTAACTCTTCGGTAGAACATGACAATTATCATTTTTTTACATTTCACTTTTGGCTGTATTTCGTCTAGCTTTTCGCGGCCAGGAGCCGGTGTCATAATCGAGGTCACGATCTGATTATAGGACGTTAAAAAGTCGAAGAAAAAAAACAAGCACAGGCAGCAGTAAAGAGATTATTAGGAGTTAGTTCCCCTCACATCTGTAAGATAGACTCGACCAGTGTAATAGTTCACTTACATAATCAGGGCTTACGACTGATTATAACTGTGGCCTGAAAGGGGTGAACAGAGTATATGTGGCAATGAAACAGTATTGACTGCTATGCACGTATTCATTTCAACTCTATTGGTAGACTCTTCCAGTCCCACTTTAAGCTTATTTAATCAAAGCTTGTGACTGTTTATGGGGTGGCCCGAGAGGGGTGAGCAGGCTATTTCTGTGGCAGTGAAACCGTTTTGAATGTCAGGCATACTATTCATTGTTGATTATGAACGTCTTTTTACATTTAATTTATAAGGTTTACGTTTATGGGTGAATTTGACTGCTACAACGTTTCAAAATTAGGAAGGGAAGCAGTGATTATTTGATTATATAGATGCTTCGCCACTGACAGTAACATAAAATGTTGTGTTCTGACTAAAAGAAAATCATTCCAAATATTCGTCTTGTTAATTTAAAAACAGAAATGACTTCAGCTGACATTTGAACGAATCAAAAGATTTGATTTCTCTTAAAGTACTTGGTAAAGCATTGCAGATCTAGGGGCCTCGATATAAATTATCTTTCATCCATTGTTTTAAGTTTCATAGATTGTACAATAAATTTTTGTGTGTCAGCTGATGACCTTAAACTGCGAGTTGGAATGTACAGTCTTAACAGGTTTGATAAATATGATGGCGCATTATCATTCAAGCATTTGTGACATGGGGTGGCCACCTTGTATACAATTCTTTTCTCAGCAGGAAGACAAAGCAATGTCCATAAAAGAGGTTTAACAGAGTCTCGTTTTCTTTTCCGTAAAACTAAACGTGCTGCATTGTTTTGAACAGTTTGAAGTCTTTTAACTGTCTCCAGTGATATTCCTGATAACAAGGAGTTACAATAATCGAGTTTTGATCAAATTAAGCTAGCTACTAGTAAAGCAGTATACATGTACTTAGTATTGATTAGATGACGTATTTTACTAATTTTTCTTGTTTCTAAATATCTGCAGCTGATCAGCCGACATAGACAAACTGGAATCAAAATAGATGTCAAGATTGTTAACTTTTCTTGAAAATGCAATTTCTGCATCACCAATTGTCATGTGATGGTGGTCAACCTCATTAAGAGACTTTGCATTGCCTGCCAGAATGACTTCTGTTTTATCACCATTCAACATCAATTTGTTTTTGTTTATCCAGTTTTTTACTGAGGCAGTACAATTTTCAGCACGATGGACAAGTAGCACATGACTCCTTAACTATCCACACCCCCCCCCTCTCGCTCCCCCAAGGGCAATATGTGAGATTATGTAACCAAATACAGGACTGCACATGTGTATATGATAATTTTGGTTGTATTGGGGGATTTATTACTTTCTAAAATTGGTTTCACGAGACATATTTCGTATTGTTACTAGAAACAATTTTTGGAATCGAAAACATAATAGTAACAGACATATTAATATGTGCACACACATGTTCATACCAAGAAAGCAAAGGTAGAAAGAGAGAAAGAAAGAAACCACCTAGAACTAAAACATGTAGGCTACGTAGATACAACGTCATGATTATTATTTCCGGCTGGTTGTCTTTCTCCAGCATTAGAGAAGAGAGCTTCCAACTTTAACCTTCTCAGTTGACTTTATTTTCAGGGGTCAAAATTGGTTCCCTGCCCGCACAGACTATTGTGTAGATGATGGTAAAAAAACACACAACAACAACAAAATAACAACAACAACAAAAAACTTACAGTAACAACGTACAATTTGAGAAAGATCTACATGAACTGCTCAGACTTAGTCGTCGACTCTTACCGTTCTGGGCCCAGTTGCCATTTCCTTGTGGTGAGGGTAAAGACAATTCCCCCCTTTCCTTTGGCTTAGACTCTCGTTTGTTTGGAGTCTTTCCTGAAAACTTCAAGTGATATTTATTGGTAAACAGAGCAAATATACCCCCTCTCCTTTTTCCATCTTTCACCCCCCCCCTCTCTCTCTCTCTCTCTCTCGTCTCTCTATAACAATAGTCATTATCAACAACAACAACGGCAACAGAAACAATAATAACAGCAACCACAACAGCAGCAGTAGCAGCAGCAGCGACAACAGCAGCAACAACAACATCAACAGCAACAGCAGCAGCAGCAACAGCCACAACAACAGTAACAACAACAATAGCAACAACAACAACAACAACAACAACTACTACTACTACTACTACTACTACTACTACTACTACTACTACTACTACTACCATTGACTGTAAACTTGTTGAGATTTCTACAAATGGTCCACCCTCTTACAACTTCAACATCTTCTTCACAAAAAGGTAGGGCACCTGTACCGGTAAGCGATTTAGGCTTATTATTGTAATTTGTAAAAAGTTAACGTGGTGTTGATACAATAAACTAGACCTACCTGGGATACAGGGTTTTCTCTATGTCGAGCCTCTATTTGTTTCTTGCTCTTGTTACATTGGGGGTTTCCCTGGGCCTGAAGAGCGTCTTCGTTGTGCAGGTACCTTGGGTGGGAGGGTGGGGGTGGGGGATTATCTGGTTTATTGGATATGAGCTTCCCTCGCCATAACACACACGTTACAAAAAGAAACCATTCATTTCAAATGTTGCAAAAAGAAACATTTTACTTCCAACGTTACAAAAAGAGACTTGTAAACGACACGAAAGGGAACCCAGAAACTTCTGCCTGTTTTGTTTTCAATCGTACAGCAACCAATTACTTCAAAGAGATCCCAGTTCTTAATGTTACAAAACCAAACTCGTTACTTCTAGTTTATGTCTGTTTTTGTTCTAACATAAAGCAAACACAAACTCCTAGGCTGTGCAGTCATTTATAGTGCAATCAGCTACTCTTCTGCGCTGCACAGACAAGACGTAGGTTCGATTCCAGAGTGAACACTTTTTCTTTTTAATCGTGTTTCTCCCAGGACCTGACTGGCACAGTTGAAGCAGCCTGAACCTCTCCATTGATTTAATTGGTGTCCATGTGGGCGAAAAACACTTCGTCGGCCGGCTGTTCAGATGTGCCAAGCCCAAAATCTAGGCTAGATATATTTTTCTCAAAGCAGTTTCTTAATCTCTATGATATCGACTGCACGTGTTAAAGAGATTTTGTCAAAATTCAAGTTCTAAATGCTGAAAAAAAAGTAAGAAAAGATACATAATGTGGCTATAAATAATTGTTAAAAGATTGAAAGTTTTATTGTTTTTTGTTTGTTTGTATTGTTTCGTTTCATTTTGTTTTATTTTGTTTGTTTTTTGTTGTTTTATTAGTTGTTTTTTGTTGTAGTTGTTGTTGTTTTTTGTTGTTGTTTTTTTTTGGGGGGGGGGGGGTTTTCGGGGGGAGGTCGCTCTCCAGAAAAATGCTGATTTCAGGATCTAGGAAATTTGAACAGCTTGCCGGCGATTTACAGTTAACATAAAACATGTCTGGACACTAGACTACTAATATGACGAATGAAAGATTGATGTGCTGTTAAGCCGTTCAGAATTTGTTCCAGGTCCACGATGGTAGTGACAAGTGTCTGGGGCATATGTGGTACCCAAAGAGATTATAGAAATTATAGTTCTACAGAGTTCATGGCAGTGACGCCACGCACGTAAACGAACGGGGGCTTCATGTGCCCACTGTCGGACACTGCGAGCTTTGAAGGTCAGAGCAACAGACGGGTGAAGGTATTTTTTAGACTCTTGACGAGACCTCTAGGCGGTCATGGGAGAAAATCTGCAGCAAGCTGTAACGGCACTGAAATTTTGAGACAGGGCGGTGTTTGATTTTTTAAAATATACAAGTCCCGTAGGAAGTGGGAAGTGGGGCTCAGATTGTTCATGTAAATGGGGGTGGACCAGCCATACCGTTGAGAACAAGAAATCCCCTGGGCCTGACGCAGGTGACATCACTGCCATGTGCTCTGGTTAAAACCTCTCTGGTGGTACCAGTACCTGTACTACTAAGAGTAACAACGTTTGTTATGACGTCACAGGGACACCCGGTTTTGTCTAGCGGTTGGCTAAATATGTCCAAACATTTCTTGCACCTTTCTTGTTTGATAGAAAGCTCGAAAAGAGGTCAAAACCTTTTGAACAGATAATATAATAATTAGAATTTGGAGTGAAAATAATCTTCCCTGAAGCACCGACATACGTTGTAATCTGAATGAAAAAAACATTTTTGGCAGACAACAAAGACAGAGGTGAGTGAGTGAACGAGGGAGAGAATGAGAAAGAGAAGAGAGCGTAGGAAAGAGAGAGAGAGAGAGAGAGAGAGAGAGAGAGAGAGAGAGAGAGAGAGAGAGAGAGAGAGAGAGAGAGAGAGAGACAGACAGA